AGATTGGAGATATTGATAATAGATTAACGGTGGTTGAACAAGATAAAAGTGGTATGTTGAGATGGGAGATGGATAGATCAGAATTCTATCAGATTCCAAAACGTAGAGGAAGAAAAAGGACAAAACCTAGCTGAGATAATGATAGAAATACTGGCTGAAGCTTTGGAAATAACTCAAGAGAAGATGATGGATGGAACAGATGAGGTTTATTGAGTTTTCACAAGATATGCGATGAGAAATAGCTTACCAAGAGAAGTTCACATTAGATTTACAAAGAAAGCCATTAAAACGCAAATATTGCAAGTGGCAAAAGAGAAAACATTGAAATACAAAGACAAGGAGATCTTGACAAGGTGGTCTTGAAACAAATACCCAGAAGAGTGAGAGAGATGAGAAGAGAATACCGATTCCTGACTAAAATGCTACTTTAAAAAGAGGTGAATTATAGATGGCTGATTCCAGAAGGTTTAATGTTCACATGGCAAGAACAGAGACACAGAATTGACTCAATTGAGAAAACAGAATTATTTTATACAGAAGTTTTGGGAAGGAAAGAGGAAGAGGCAGAAAAAGAGATCTCATTAATTGAATTCCAAGAGGACTGCCAAATGGTGACTGAAAAAGAAGAAGGCGCAGTAGGTGGAAAGGCAGAAGCCAAAGAACAACGTGAATTAAGATCTACGAGAGCTGCTAAACCTAACTATAAAATATAACCATGGAAGAGAAAAAAATGATTACAATTAATATAAATGTTAAAAGAAGGAAAACCTTTCATAAATTGGAGAAATTAAAATTTGATATAATCTGTCTACAAGAAGTACATATTAAAAAACAATATGAACAATTGTTGGTACAGCCAAAATTAGGGAAAATATTTACTTCCTTGACCCAATGTAAGAAAAGAGGAGTGGTTTTATATATTAAAGAGACCACCCCAGCAAAATTGATCTATACCAATGATGATGGAAGAACACTAATGGTGGAAATAATGGACAATAATATGAAAACACTCCTGATTGCAATTTATGCTCCGAATGACAAACAAGAAGAATTCTACAAAAAAACTACATATGAAAATAATTGAACTGGACTATGCTAATATAGTTATGATGGGAGATTTTAATGGGATTGTAGACAACAAATTGGACTATACAGCACAGAAAACAACAAAGCAAAACAGAAAGACTCTCCCTAAATCTTTTTTTTAAAATGGTAGATGAAATAAACTTAAAAGATACATGGAGAGAAAGAAATGCTAAAACTAAACAATACACCTTCTATTCAAATAGACACTTATCATGGTCCAGAATAGATATGATATGGATGTCAACAGAATTAATATCTAACATTCAAGAAATAAATATTGAAACAAGTACTTGGGCTGATCACAATCCAATGACAATTAAATGGAAAGGACAAAAAAGAAGAAGATCCAGATGGACGTTAAGTAATACTATTTTAAAGGAAAAAGACTTCACACAGTGGATGGAGAAAGAATTGGCCTTTTTCTTTAGAGAAAACAAAAAAGAAGATACATCAATTCAGAATGTATGGGATACAATGAAGGGATATGTTAGAGGCTTGATAATAGACTATACAAGGAAAAGGAATACTATGAAAAGATTAGCCTCTAAGGCATTAGAAGATGAGTATAAAGGACTTGAAAAAGAGCTACAGAAAATGCCACAGAGAAAGGACATTAAGCTAAAAATGGATATAACCAAACATAAAATGGATCTAATAGAAAAAGAAGAATTAGCACAAAAAATTAGAGGTACTAAACAGAACTACTTTGAAGACACAAACAAACCAGGTAGATGGTTAGCATACGAATTGAGAAAGGAGAAAGAATCAAGGAAAATATTGCAATTAATAGATGACCAAGGCCAAGTTTGCCATGGTAGCAAAGAGAAGAAGGAAATCATTTGAGACTTCTATGGGAAATTATATATGCAAGAGAATATTGATGAAGAAAGAGTCAAGCAGTACTTACAGAATGCTAATTTACCTCAGATACCTAAAGAGATGGAAAAAATGTTAGAAAGCAATATCACGATGATGGAGTTAACTGAAGCACTCAAGAAGCAAAATAATGGAAAGGCACCAGGCCCAGATGGACTTCCAGCAGAATTTTATAAAACATTACAAGAATCGTTGAATTTTCCATTGCTAAAAGTTATGAATGAAGTTATGTTAAAGAAGAAGATACCTAAATCATGGTCAGAAGCTTATATTACACTTATTCCAAAAGAGGAGGCCGACTCATTACAAATTAAGAACTATAGACCCATTTCTCTACTAAATGCAGATTACAAAATTTTTGCTTCAATATTGGCAGAAAGACTTAAAAAATATTTAAATAATTTTATCCATCCTGATCAAAATGGATTTTTGCCAAAGAGACAAATTAAAGACAATATGAGAGTAATCATGGACACCTTGGAATACTACGAGGCACATTCTGAAAAACAAATGGCTCTGATATTTCTAGATGCACAGAAGGCATTTGATAATGTGAATTGGCGATTCATGTTATTACTGTTGGAACAGATGGGGTTTGCTAGAAAATTTATTCAAGGAATAGAAGTTATATACTATAAGCAAACGGCAAAGGTAATGATAGAGGGAGAACTGACAGAATCTATTAATATAAGAAAAGGAACAAGACAAGGGTGCCCACTATCACCTTTGTTGTTTGTGTTAACTTTGGAAGTGTTAAACAGAAATATTAGAGATGAAAAGAATATAAAAGGAATGAAAATCAAAAAGGAAGAATTTAAGCTGCAAGCATTTGCGGATGATCTGGTTTTCATTTTAGAAGACCCTTTAGAAACAGCATCAAAATTGATAGAAAAGATAGAGACATATGGAAAGGTGGCTGGTTTGAAAATAAATAAAGACAAAGATTTTGACAAAGAATATGCTATTAAGACAAAAGGAAGAACTGGCAGACTTATTGAAAATTCAAGTCATGAATAAGATCAAGTACTTGGGGATACATTTGACAGCAAGATGTAGTACATTAAAAGAGAATAATTATATTAAACTTAAACAGCAGATAGCGCTAGATTTGGCGAAATGGGAAAACTTATAACTGTCACTAATAGGGAGAATTTCAACAATCAAGATGAATATATTACCCAGAATTTTATATTTGTTTCAAACAATTCCAATTAGGCTTGGAAAAGACTACTTTGAAGATTTAAATAAAATTGTGTTGAAATATATATGGCAAGGTAAGAAAGCGAGAATAAAGTTAAAACTTTTGCAAGATGCTAGAATTAGAGGAGGATTTGGTTTGCCTAATTGGGAATTGTACTACCAAACTACAAATCTGATGTGGGTTAAGGAATGGATAACACTAAGAAATGCTCGATTGTTGACATTAAAAGGACATGACCTGTTGTTGGGGTGGCATGCTTTTTTATGGTACAAAGGAACTAAAACACAGGGGTATTTTAGAAGACATTATATACGGGAGTCTCTGTGGTTAAACTGGGAGAAGATTAAAAGACAATGTTATTTGAAAATTCCAGTCTGGTTATCGACTATTGAAGCATTTTCGTATCCTATAATATACAAAAAGGAACAAACAGTTAGATATGGTGAAATACTGAATGAAAAGGGTGAACTTAAATCTATGCAAAAACTAGAGGAACAAAGTATAAAGATGAATTGATTTTCATACGTGCAAATACATTCAAGGTATGATAGATTCTAAAACAGAAGGTTTATATGTTAAACTGACTGACTTAGATAAGATTTTGACAGGTACTGATGAAAAGGTGATTAAAAAATTGTATGGATATCTATTAGAAATTAAACTAGAAGAAGAACAAGTTGAAGAAACTATGATTGCTTGGGGGAAGAATTTTGGATATGGGATTGATTTAGAGAAATGGCAAAAATTGTGGTCTCAAAATTATAAAATGACAATGTCAACAGCATATAAACAAAATTTGTATAAGATGTTTTACAGGTGGCATTCCCCCCTTCCAAGAATAGCAAGAATGTTCAAGAATAAATCCGAAAAATGTTGGAAATGTCATCAGACACCTGGCTCACATTACCATATGTGGTGGACTTGTGCGGATGCTAAAAAATGCTGGACTAAAATCCACATGTGGTTGGAAAAAATGACGAAAAAACATACGGACTTGAAACCAGAGATATTTTTATTGGGAATTTTACCTGAAATATATAGTAAAGACTTGAAATACCTGATTGTAAATGTATTAACAGCGGCTAGGATTGTATTTGCTAAAAACTGGAAAAATGATAAAATACCATCATAGGAGGAAATCATTAAGAAAATATTGGAATGTGCTGAAATGAGTAGATTGACATTTGAAATTAGAGAACAAGAGGATAAACAATTTTACAAAATTTGGGATCTTTTCTATCAATGGTTAGACAATTAAGTACAGTAATGAAATATGTAGATTTTTAGAAAATAATATATAAAGATGTATTTCTTACTATATCTACAAAATGATTTTAGGATAGATTTGGGATGATAATATGAACTGTTATAAAATAAATTAAGTAAATTATGGTTATCTTGTAAAACATGAATGAATAAAAGTATAGTCAAATGATTAATAATGATACTAAGGTATTTAATTTTTGATTGACAATATGAGATTATATGTAATGTAATTGTAATTGAAGACTACGAAATGGAAGCACAAAACAATTTGTAAACCAACCGGCACACTGTATGTACACCTATGGAAAATAGCTTGATGTTTTTATGTTTTGTTTGTTTATGTTTGTTTTTAAAAACCAATAAAATTTTAAAAAAATGATGAAAAACCTAACACAGACAACATGATTGACTGAGATGTCTTCCAGCTTCGCCGCTGTCCCTCTCTTCCGCAGCGGAATTGAGAGCGACGGCCAGACCAAAACAGGAAGAAGTTTAGCGTTGTTTTAATGATTTTGGTCCTTCGCGGCCTTCGTAGTCAAGGGGCGGGGGTTGCAAGTAGGATGAATGTACACGGTGTTTTTACGATCTTGATGTGCAACCCCGGAAGACGGCGATGGCGGCTGCAATGACGGCGTCGATCGCCGGCTGGTCCTCCGGAGAGCCTGGTCTCGAATGGGGTAAGGCCGGCCGTGGGAGTGGAGAGCTCGGCGGGAACCTCAAGCCGTACTTGGTCACCGCCGGCAGTAATGGTGGTGGTGGGGATTGTCCCGGGTAGAAGGGATTTAGTGAGAGTTGCACCATGTGGGGCTGGTTTGCCCCTGGTTTGTTCATTGCTACTTCTAGTTGTTTCCCCTTCTTAAGCTCTCTCGGGGCGCTTCCTCTTTTGCTCTTACGATGATCCCCCGAGGAGACACAGGGAGGTTGAAGAGAGGAACGTGGCCAAGTTTATCTAGGGATCTCCCTACCTGCCGCCGGTTCAGCCGCCGGCTTTCGCCGATGAGTCTCCCTCTCTCTCGCCATGGGTATTTCCTATGTCGCTGTAATCTTATAGGGCAGGTGTTATTTATATATTATTTATATTCATATGTTGACGTTTATTGCTGGAGGCAAAGAAACTGGTTAAAAGCCATCAAGGACGTTCGTGACAGAGGCTCGTGGATTTCCTCTGTTTTTCTTACAGAAGGCGGTCTCTGTATACGCACTCTGTGAAACTGTAATTAAATAAGGTTGGACTTGGAAATGTTGTTTGAACCAGAGCAAGGACTTCTAAAAACACAACACACATTTATTGCCTTGACTGATTTTTTTTTTTAATACTTGGTTCTCCAACTTGAAAGATTTTTGGAAGTTTGTAGAATCACGGAAAGCCTTGACAGTTTCAGCCCTCAGATTTATTTTCTTACAAATGCAATTGAGAGGAGAAAGAGAAATGGGGGGGATACACAATATCTAAGACAGCAAATATTAATTTTATGGTTAATATAATGGCCAACTTTAATGGAAATGGGCTGCTCAGGAATGCCCAAATGACAATTTTGCCTCTTGTTGCCCTTTTTGGGGGTGGGGAGAATGTGCTTAAAAATGGGAAAATGGCATGAGAGAAAAACGCTGACTGTCCTCCAGTATTGCACCCCTGTTATAATTGTCCACAGGTAGCTTATGACTCCATTTATAGATTCTGCAAAAATCTAATACTTTTGTTTAATTACGAACAAAATACCTTCCGTGTGGCTTCTGTTAGTGGTGGAAGTGATAAAACATTCCATGATATCTGAACCAGATCCTTCTCTAGCTTTTGTTTCCCCAGGATGCTAAGGATTAGATATCTTCAATACATTATGGTTTTTGATGTTGATGTGTTAACAGAGAAACAAACAAAAAACAATTCCTAGTCTTTGAGTTTATGTAGTTTATTTAACTTAGTGAGTGTATCCAAATTAAAATAATCATGCAATTTGCAATAACATGTTGGAATTCTAATATTATTATGACATGCAAATATGCTACAGTATCATCTCATTGGCTGATGTAAGACCAGAGCTTAAAAAGTAATCTAGTTCACAGTGTAACATTGCTGCATATGTCAGCAGTGGTGCTTAAAGCCTACATGAATTTTCAATATTTCTCAATTTTATATGAGATGATTGTTCAAGTTTTAAATTGGTGAAAGTTAAAAAACAACTTATGGATTAAGATCAATATGGATCAAGTTTTAATCATTCAAAAGAAAGATAAGAGAACAGTAATTCCATTTGTGCTAAGTGAAATCTAACTGCTTTCTCTTGGTAGGTAGTTTTGTCCTACTTCTTAGACCATCTTGCCTAGTAAGCAGAGCAGCTGGGTCCAGATAGAACTCCTAAAAGTCTAATCTTAGCAAAATGAAAAACCTCATTCTGTCTTCCATTACTTCTTTCCCTGTCCATCGAAACCACAGCTACTTCCCGGAAGATACAAAACCACTATAGTAGGGCTGTCAAACTTGCAGCTTGCGGGCTGGATGCGTCATGCGCTAGCTATGCCGATTTAGCGAAGGGGGAAAAGTCCTGATACATCACGTGATGCCGCCATGATGACACGAGCTTGGCACTCCTGCACTAGGGAGATATTCAATTTCAGATCATAAACATAGCAAGACTCTCTTTTGCAGCACTGGCACTATGCAGGAAGCATGGCTGAACAGTCTGCTGGTCCCTCTGGTGCCAAGTTAGAGTAATGCTTAAACATAGGTCAAATCAATGTCCAGACCCTAATCCTATAGAAATGTTATAGAAGGAGTTGAAACAGGTAGTCCATGCAAAGAAGGCCACCAACATCCCCGAATTGAAACTGTTCTTCTATAAGGAGGAATGGGCTAAAATTCCCCCAAACTGATGTGTGGAACTGATCAACGTTATTGAAAAAGTTTAGCTGCAATTATTGCTGCCCAGAGAGAGCGCACCAATGCACAAATAGGTAGCTTTGGATCATTTTCCTCAAGAAATAAAATGAAGAACTATAATGTTTTTTAACTAATTGGTTTGCCTAAGTTCTCTTTATTTAGTTTTAGAACTAAATAAACATTTCACATTTTAGGTCATATTTATGCAGAAGTACTAATAAATTCTAAAAGGGTTCAGAGACTTTAAGCACCATTGAATAGGAACAGCTGGGAGAGGTCATCCATTGGGGTACTGATGATATGGATTCTAATCTCCAATCTGAACCCAGTGAGAGACACAATAGATGCCCTATCCCAGGCCTTGGAGACTTCAGGAACTGAATGGGGAAAGGCAGGCTGAGACTTGACTCAAACAAAACAGAGTTAATTGAAGAACTTTCTGACCATCTTGGACCCTTGAAAGGGTTGTGCTCCCTTGAGTTCATAGTTTCATTCATAGCCCTGGGAAACCATGTGATCAGCAGGGGCTTTGCCCAGCTGGGGCTAGTATGCCAGTTGTGACCTTATCTGAAACAGGATATTCCTAATTAGATTTCTGTAATTTGATCTCCTTAATGTTGTCCTTAAAGACCACCTGGAAACTTCAGTTGGTTCAGAATGCAAGAGCTAGCATGTTTGTTGACCAGTCTTGGCATTGTAATGATGCACTATTATTATAATTGGTTGCCAGTGTGTTTGTGAGTGCAATTCAGTATAATGGTTGCTACCTTTAAAGCCCTTAGTGCTTAGGGCCTTGGTATCTAAGATATCATCTTTCTCAGATAGTCTCTAGCTAGCTAGCCTGCATGGCTAGAGAGTATTAAGAGTTCTCATCTATCAGGAGGGGATGACTGAAAAGGTAGATATATATGTAAATAAACAACCACCTAATTTGGAAAAGGGCCCATTTCCTGAAAATTAAATGTGCATTTATATATTTTGGAATGAAAATAATTTGAAATAACATAGAATAAAATTATGTTCATTTCATAGTTGACACCTTCTTTGTTTTCATACCATTGCAGAATTTGCCCAGTGAAATGGTCTCTTCCTTATTTCTAGGAAATGAGGAAGGTCTGAATTATTTTGTGTGATTTATGTACCTTATGTCTTTATTTAAATCCTAGAATCTCTTCTCTTCAGTGAAATTGGTGATCTCTTAGGAGAAGATGAACTTCAGCTAGATGTAGAGAATGAAACCTATGTGAGTAAGAGGAAAGCATTCTTAACCTTAATTATTTTATAGTGTTGGTTTTTATTCTTTTCAATCCAATAAAATGCTGCAAAGAATTTTATGTCAAGGGATTTAGGATTTTGTTCAACCACAGAAAAGAAAGCAGAACAGAAAATGGCCATATTTAATAGGTGGAGAGAACTAAGTGATAGAAAGATCAACTAATAAACTGTATCAGCTTTGGTGCTATGAAATTTTTATGATCTTTCTGAATTTCAGATTTCACTAATCACAAGAATACTATGAAACAAGCCTTTATTTACACTGAGAGCTTATGCACCAAAGACAAATTGCTTGTGTGTCCAATCACACTTGACCAATAAAGAATTCTATTCTTACTTTTTCTGATTAGCAGCAGGTGGAACTTGCCGTAGATTTAACATAAGAAATTTGAAACAATCCGGCTATTTAAATAACAGAATAACAGAGTTGGAAGGGATCTTGGAGGTCTTCCAGTCTAACTCCCTGCTCAAGCAGGAGACCCTAGACCAGAATTGCCCAACCTTTCCAGATTGGCGGCCCGGAGCAGGGGGGGAGGGGAAAGGGGATGGTTTTGTAGGAGGGGCAGGTGGATGTGCACATGCTGGTACACGTGTGAATGCCCGTGATGTTCATGGCAACGCTTGGACAAGTGGGACCGCAAGCACCTGTAACGAGGCTCATGCAAGTGGGGCTGTGACTGCCAGTGACGATGCTTGCACAAGTGGGGCTGCAATAATGCTTGTGCAAGTGGGGCCATGGCCTCCCACAATGCTTGTGCTGATGCACGAGTGGGGTGTGTACACCAGCCAGCCACTCACATGGCCCGGTGGTGATTAGGCCACGGCCCGGTAGTGGGACTTGGCCCACAGGTTGGGGTCCCTTGCCCTAGACCATTCTCTGTCTCTTATTATTTAGCAAGCTTTAAAGGACCAAAGGGTACAGGTTGTAGAGGAGCCAATTAAATGTATTTATATCAGAAAGCATAGTTACTCTCTCTAAAATTGGCCTGTGACTACTTTCATACTTGCACTTTCAACAGTTTGCTTTCAGGTCACAATACATGCATTTTCAGTTTTTGCATTTTGAATGTTTCATTTATTTGTTTATATGTATTTATGTGTACAAGTAGTCCTTGACTTAAAACCACAGTTGGGACCAGAATTTCAGTTGGTAAGTTTCCTAGTCATTAAGTGAATTGCACCTGATCTTGTGACCTTTTTGCTGCAGTTATTCAATGAGTCATGCAGATCACACAGTTGTTACACAAATGTGGTTTCCCTCATTGATTTTATCAGAAGCCTACTGTGAAGGTCACAGATGGTAGTCATATGATCTGGGATGCTACAACTGTCATAAATACATGCTGTCTGCCAAGCGGCTGAATTCTGATCACATGACCATATGATGGTTGCAGGTGTGAGGATCAATTGTAAGTCGCTTTTTTCACCATAATTGAATGGTCATTAAGCTAATTGTTGTAAGTCAAGGACAACCTGTATTAGATATTTAAAAAGCTTTTTCACTGTCTCTTTCTCCTGCATTACTAATGTATGATGTTAAATTTATATTTTGTTGGCAAGTGACTAATCAGACAAAACCAATGTTGCAGTAATTCCTGAAATGGTGATTATTTCCATGTTAAAATATGGACTTGGAATTGGTTAAAGCATCTGATTATTGGGAATTGGGAGAAAGTGAAATATTAATTTGTAAAATAGTGTTATAGTGCTGTCATGGCTAAGATGAGTTCTTCTGTCTCTGTATAAAACTTAAACTTGTTCTTAAAATTAAAAAAAGCTTTTTGAAATTTTAATTTTAAAATTTCAGGCAAGATATATGGAAAGCATATATTGATATGTGAATTCTACTTATACTAACATATAAGTAATGGACAGTGAATAAAATAGTATAAGCAATTTGTATTCAATAATTACTGTTTAAATACTTATATATCATGACACAATAAATTAAATACCACTGCTATGGATTATTAAGGTAGTGTTTTATGAGGGAATATGCAATATTGATGGTCCAAAGTTTCACATTTATAATACTGAATGCTGGTGAAAAATAAAAGAGAACATAGGTACTGCCATGAGAGATTACAATGTTAAATATTATCTTGGTAAACATTCTGTAGCAATTAGTCTGTGTCCTGGAAGGCATGGCTTGTTTGTGTTTGATATATAAAGCATATAGTTTCAGAATTATAAAAGCAAGAAACAACAATGAGAAGAGATTACAATTGATCTGTCGATAGTAGCCTACCATTTTTATCCTTTATTTTCAACCTACCTTCGAGGAACTTATTTGATAAAGCAACTGGTCACTTCAGTTTTGCCATTCTTTTGTTGTTTGTCTTTCCATAACCTTGCTTATTGTCATTTATAGGAAAGCAACCTTGGTGACCTTGACTTTGATTTAGATTTGATGTCTTGGGATTCAGGTGCATGGGATATAACGAAGCAGACCCCAGCAGGTAATTTCTGGTTGAGTTTTTTAAGACAGTAAGCAGTTATAAAATTGTATAACTCTTTAAAATATATCTTTTTACTCACAGAACTTAAGCCAGGAGAGGGAAATACTACTTATCAAGAGCAGTTAACCTAGGAGAAATTAAGTTGCTTTGGAGGCAGACCAGGTGATAAGTTGAAGTCAAGTAGTTGGCTCTACTTGTTCTTTTTCATAATTAGAACACATGAGATATGGATTTGTAAAAAAGTTAGCATTGCTAGATGAACCTTATATTATTTTTCAATTGCATGCATTCCTTACAGTAATAGAATATTTTTTTATTTTACAAAGCAATTGACAAAATAGTTTTGACATTCTGTGAATAGGTTATTGATATATGGACAGAGTATTTGGCTATTGGTACACCAAGTTTGTAAATCTGTAGTGAATCAATAATCCCTTGTCAATCTTGAGCGAAGTACAGATATTTCTCAAGTTGATATGACATGATAGCAGTGTTCCAATATTTGAGGGGCTGTCACAGAGAGGAAGGAGTCAAGCTATTTTCCAAAGCACCCGAAGGCCAGACAAGGAATAATGGATGGAAACTGAACAAGGAGAGATTCAACCTGGAAATAAGGAGAAATTTTCTGACAGTGAGAACAATCAACCAATAGAACAGCTTGCCTTCGGAAGTTGTAAGTGCTTCATCACTGGAAGCTTTCAAGAAGAGACTGGACTGCCATTGGTCAGAAATGGTATAGGGTCTCCAGCTTGAGCAAAGGGTTGGACTAGGTGACCTACAATATCCCTTCCAACTCTGTTACTCTATTCTATTCTAACTTCCGAACACAATAGGGACCAGGAAATTCATTGTTAAGTGATGCATCCTGAAGTGAGGCATCAGGCAACTGCGCCCATTTTTTAAAAAGTATTTTTGCCACTGGCATTAAGTGAATCACCTGCAGTCAATAAACAAGACATTATTACATGAATGTGACTTGCTACCTCCAGCTGGTTTTCCCATTGACGTTGCTTGCCAGAAGTTGGCTCAAAAGGTTGCAAATAGTGACCACAGGGGTCTGCAGCTGTTGTAAATGCAAGCTAGTCACAGCAATTATTGTAAGTGCAATCTGCTTCCCAAGAACCCAAATTATGATCCATGTGACTACATAGATGCTACAATGGTTGTAAGTGCAAGGACTGATCATAAGAAACTTTTTTCAGCATCATCATAACTTTGAACAGATGCTAAACAAATGGTCATTTAGCAAGGCCTACTGCACTGAATATGGAGTTCTCTCCTAGACATTGTACTGTCCATTATTTTAGTTAATACAGAATTGAGGCTATAACTAATCAAAATACTATCAACTGACTAAGAAAATGGGTTTAAAATAACAGCATAGAATTTAATTGCAAAAAAAAATCTCTAAAAACAAAATCAAATTCTAGTTTGTTTATAGTAGGAGAAATTGTATTTTACCAAAGCGAGTAAAAGTTAGTAGTATGATGTCTGCAAGAGATACAAACATAATTTTAGTTTGTACTTACAGAAGTATTGTTTTCAAATCTTGGGAAGTAATTTTGCTCCATGTTGAATACCTCAGACTCCATCTCAAGTACTTTTTCCAGTTTTGGACACCCCAAGGTTCTGTTGTGGCGGAGGGAAGAGCAAACAAGCTATAAGGATGGTTAAGGAAGGGATTGGAAACTAAATTCAAAAGCTGAGAGACTTGAGTATTGTGTTTAAGGCATAAAAAGGCTATAGAGACGCATGCATTTTAAAACTGTAAGCCACTCAGAGTTACTTGGTATAGAAAATGAATGAATAAATAAATATTCCTGACTATCTATGGAAGTGTAACTGTTTAATCAACTTCAGATTGAAAAGAGCTAGAAAAAGATGAAACCTTCCAAGCTGAGGGAAAATGTCAGCTTGTTCAAAAAAACTAGTAACGTAGTTTTAATCTTTTAGAAGAAAGCTCAGTCCATTCTGTAGGAGAAATAAATTCCAGATCCCCAGTACCCTCTTTATGAGGGGAAGGGGGAGTGGCTGTGAGCTAGAGCCCGACTATGAGCACTATGCTTTAGTCCCCAGTGTACTGAATGTGGAATATACCTTTGGATGCCATCCTTGAGAGAAATCTGTTAATTTTCTTTAATTCTTTCTATTAAAGATATAGAGTGCAAAGCAGAACCTCTCTCACCAACTGCTTCAACAGATTCAGTTCCTTCTCCTTTACCTGTGGACTCTCCAGTACAACATGTACCTGTAAGTAATTTTTGGGGGCTAGTTACCCTGTTTCTCCAACAATATGGCCTCCCCCAATAGGAAGTCCTAGCATGTTTTATAGGCATGAAATGAAATTAAGCCCCTCCCCCCAAATTAAGGCCTATATTAAAACATGCAAAATGGGGGGAATGGTGGGGGGGCTTGCCGTTAGGAAGTACTTTTGTTGCACACCCGGATATGCTGCTGCCTGCGTTGACCCCGATACTAAGTGCCTCACCAACGCCGAGGTCAACATCCAAGCTGTCGCTGCCCGCCCGCCCAAAGATGCAAGGGGGGGGGGGGAATTAAGACACCCCCGAAAAGACAGCCTAGCCATTTTTTCGGGGCTCAAAAAAAAATAAGACTCGGCCTTATTATATGAGAAACACGGTAGATGCAATAAGGTAATATTTAACCAGATTAATATTCAAAGTAATCTTTATTTGTCATCGACTAATCCAGATCCAAAGAAACAATTGCATTGCTGGTTAACTTTTCCTTTATTGTTGGTGCTGGGTTTTTTGAAAGTATTTGGGAATCAATTAGTGTTCAGAAGAAATGATACAGAGAGCAAGTGCCAGTTTTGAAATCCAAGGTTAGGAGACTTGCCAGAGTTAGTGAGTGAGCTCTTGATGTCCAAAGATAAATTTACCGAATCTGGAAACTGAGACAATCTGTTAGATCTGCAAGTTTGTGGCCTCAACAGTATTCCACATCTCCTTAATTCTGTCTTTCCGCCCTATCTTTTTATCCACCCCCATCAGCTTCTGTGGTAATTGGTGGACATGCATGTACCCCATTTCCCACCATCCAGCCAGAGCTGAAGAAGCTTCTTGGATGAGAAGCAAAACATCTTCAAAGAAAAACCAGAAAGTCCAGTTGCCTCTTGATAAAGCACGTTTGGGACAACCATGACCTGGATGACTGAGAATCTCCATAGACATGGACATGCAGAATTTTGGATGGAAATGCAAATGATTTCTTGGCCTAGTTTAGAATTTTTGAGGTCTCCTATGTTATGCAAAAGTGTTTTAAATGCATTGTGACTAAAGTATAACTGGGAAAAATAGTTCTGCCGGTGTGTATTTGTCTTTTGCTTGTTTGTTGTAACAAGAAGAATTACAATGTTTGTAATTTTTTGAACATTGCCAGGAAGATGTGGAGTTTGGCACTAATTCTCACTTATCCACTGCATCTTTATATGACAAATGCAGCTCCAAATCACCATTACCTTTAGAGAAAACTAAGAAGTCTCTACCTAAAACTACGCGTTCAGGTATGATTTTTATTTGCCCATTTTCCAATATGAGAATAATAACACTGATCTAAATTAGTAAGAATAGCTAAGAATTGTGTCTTTCGCATATGCACAAAATAATTGTTGGGAATCATTCCTTGTTTTTAGATTTTGTATACTCATATAATATGTGGCATTATTATAGAAAAGATACTTCATCATAAAGACATAATCCCCTACTGTTCACATTATTTACAAATAATGTGCATGATTTAGAAACTTTTTTAACAAATATACTGCATGATTTAGAAATTGGCACTTTTAAAACTTTTAATTAGCTCAATTAAACAGTGCTGCCATACTGTTTTGAGTATTACAATGTAATGTAGAAGTAGTGTTGAGGTAGTTGAGGATAATTTGTGTTTGCCACTTTTCTTTCTTTAGTGTCTTCCTTACTTGCTTGTGATTTTTAAGCAGAGGTGGGCAGTGTATCAGCATCTTCTATAGCTAGAACATAAGAAAAAATAGTTACTGTTGTTAAGGCTATTCATTTATTTTCAAGTGTATAGAACAGGGGTGTCAAACTGTTTCATTGAGGGCTGCATCAGGGTTGTGTTTGTCTTTGGGGGAGCTGAGGTGGGCGTGGCTGGGGTGGGCATGGCCAGCTCGATGTCACTCATGTTGGGGGTGCCTGTGGTGGCCCGAGCACTCTGTCAGCGAAAACAGGCTCCCAAGCTCTGTTTTCAGCTGTGACAGCCTCCTGCAACCCTCTGCCAGTGAAAACGGAGCTTGGGAGGGCCACATGCAGCCCTCCTGATCTTCATTTTCACTGGCAGAGGCACCACTGGCCAGTTCTTTGCCATTTCCAGGGCAGCCCCGCAGGCCAGATCTAAGTACCCTGTGGGCTGCATCCAGGCTGCGGGCCTTGAGTTTGACACCCCCGGTATAGAGCCACCAGGCTGATTATGACTATAATCTATCACTATGATTATGAACCACCAGACTATAATGTTATGCTAAGTACACAAGCAAGAAAGGATATCTGTAAAAGAAAACTTGTCTTTGTGTGCTTCTATTTTCTCTTGTACAATTGAACTTAATTCACTGTTCCTTTCTGGTCTTAGCTTATTTTTCTGTTTAAACTAGAGATTGTCCTTAAAAGCAAGCTCTGTTTAATAAATGGTGTGCCACTTATTTGAAGTTGGCCAGTGATGAGTTTATATCACCTTTTCTAATTGATATTAAGAATGAGCCAGGATTTGAGCAAATTAAAAGCCAATACAGTTATTGCACTGAAGGAAGAGAAGGGAATATGCAAATGCCAGGCTTTACTTGATCTGACTCCAGTTGATATATTTGAGCCAGCCCATATATTATGAATAAGTAAAATGTGTTTTCTTTAAAGGCAGGTTTGATCCCGGGTTGTGTTGTACTGTTGGCTTCATTTAATGAAGTTCGTCTTCCTGCCCTCCTTATTATCAGAATTGCTATTTCTATTGAACTGCAGATAATTGCATGAGGAGGAATATTACCTTTAAAAAAAACTACTTCAAATGCAAATTCTCTTCTACAGCAAATGGATCATCGATGACCCTTAAACGAAGTAATCCAGCAGCCCCCAAACCATTAATTCAGCCCAAGCCTCTGTTGCGTGCCTTTTGTGAGACTCAGCCCAATCACCAGGCAAAAGCCATTGTCATTCCAGCTCTTCCCACACTCCTGACACTGCCCAAGCAGCCGCAAGTTGTTACTATTCAGCCGGCACCTTCAAAAGGTATATGAGTTAAGGTTGCAATGGGATGCGTGCTAGGTTGTCAGGATTTAGCAAATGATGTTGAATGTGCAATATGGAGACACTGCAGTTTCCTAAGAGGATTTCTAAATATTTTTAATGTAGAATTGCTTTAAATGGGTACAATTTTAAGAAGTCCAACCTTCAAATTTACATTAGCTTTCTGTCAGCATCTATGACAAACATATCAAGTTTTATGTCTGAAAGGGCTTTTTGGGAGCAAATTGTGGTGAAAAAAGTAATTTAATTTCCAAATGGCAGGATTCTTGATCCCTAATTACAGGTAGTCTTTGCTTACCAATTGCTCATTCAATGACTGTTCAAAATTACAATGGCATTGAATAATGAGACACAACTGACCCTTGAAGTTGCAGATGTCACAGTACCCAGCAGTCATATGATTGTGTTTTGGGTGTTCGGCAAACTGGCACATATTTATAATGATAGGTACATCCCATAGCCACATAATACCATTTGCAGCTCTCACACTTGGCTTGCAATAAGCAAAGTGGGAGAAGCGGGCAGGAACTTGCAAGTTTCAGTTAAATGATGTTGTGCTTAATGACCCATGGTGATTCACTTAACAATCACGACTGGAACTGTCAAACTGCCATCATAAATTGGGCATGGTTGGGTGATTTTTCACTTTATGATCGCAGATCCTAATTGCGTTGAGTAAGCCTATATTAGCAAGAAATTGAGGATTTTTAATTAAAACATTGGGAGAGGATATTTTTTATTTACTTAAAGCCTTTTTTATTTTCCCAAGGAATTTGTCTCCAGTGCATAAGCTCTCAGTGTACATACAAATAACAAAATATAATCATAAGATACCAATAATAGAAGATTATACGAAAGATGAGAAGGGTTCATTATATCTTATATCATTATATTCATTATATCCTTCTGTTATAAATATATCAAAATTAACATTTGTACATTGGAAGTGGAATGGCTGGCCACTAACCAGCCCAGGGCAATCTGTGTGATTTTGTCTCCTTTGGAAAATGAGTAGAAACTCACCTACACAATAGAAATAAGCTATGTTGAAAAGCAGTATATCTATGAATTTCAATTTTTGTTTACTTATAGCACATTAGTTGATAAGCAGCTCTGTCTAGATGTGTTGCTTAGAAACAATTTGTGGATATTTTATGTAGACATTATTTGAATTGTTGGTAATAAGTAGGTTGGATTGATGCTATAGAAGTGGCCCTCTGCTCTAATCTGCTCTTTAACTATAATTTATGTGCCACACATAGCAACCATTTTAAAATCTAATTACAGCCTCAAAAGTAGTAAGTGATATATTTGCTTTAGTGTATGGTATTTAAATGAATCTTCAGTGTGCAAACGCAAGCCTTTAGATATGACTAAAAGCAACGTATTTGAATTCTTCAAAAATTACTGGATGCCTAGGATAGAAATGTTCTAGGCCTATATATGTTTAGCTCTATAAAGTAAAGCAATATTTTGTCTTCTTTGTACAGCTATCCTGAGGCAAAACGTAGCATGCAAGGTAATTAACATTTTTGATAAGTACTAAATCGCAATACCAAAATTTTTTTGTTCCTGTCTTAGGTCAGCCACTAATGCTATCTCAGCCTGCTGTGGTTCATCTTCAGACATCTGGAATCCTTCCTGCTTCAAATCCAGCCATTGCTGTTAATGGTGGAGTAAAACCATTAACAGGTCACACCATTAGGGTATTACCACAATCGGCAGCAAAGAGTTTGACCAGTGGGAACCTTTCAGAAGCTAAGCCTGTTCTTCACACCACTTCCTCAAACACAAACATGGATGTAAGTTCTTTCCAGCTTCTTTGTAATTAGCCCTTCCACCTGGAAAGCTCATTTGCTGCTTTCAGGGTCCCAAAAATGTTTTAGCCACAACCGCTAGTGTCATAATTGACAGCATGCAGTGTCCAGAGGGGGATTTCACCACCCAGCACCACCCATTTAAATTTTTCTATGAACTGGCAATCTTCTAGATTTTCTACTAAAGAGAATATTGGAAGATAAGTAATACCTGCTGAAGGCTTGGAAATTCAAGAGGTGACATTTCAGTTGGTGCTTCTTTGCCCTTTTTATTTCTGGTGGTGGAGATAGTTCCCGGAGTAGCCTCTGAGAGTGTTTGTGTGCACCCACATGCTTATACATGGCTGACTGTATTCAGTTAGTAAACTATATATGAAAACTGCCAGGTAGTCTGGACTGGGCTAGAAATCCTGTTACATTAATTTTGTGTGTTGGAAGGCTTTTATTTTTGTTATTGTAGGGGGAGTATTCAATCATACAGTCTGAAGGAGTCAGATACCAGTTTTTCTCTTTAGCAGAAATTAAACTACTGATCAGCTCTGCCTTTACAACTTGGCATTCTTTTCAATATCAGATGCAGTGCCAAAGAAATGCCTTGTCAAACCATCTGGTGAGCATTGGATCAGTGAGACTGAAATGAGTATAACCTGTACTTTATCCCCCCCCCAAAAAAAAAAACACAGCTAAATCAACATTGCCTAACACTTCAATCAATACAAGCAAAATGTGTGCAAATTACTCCTGTTAACCTGGGTAAAAGGTCACTTCAATGCATCATCAGCGCAGAGACCAAAAAGGTTTCTCAACTAATCTATGCATCAAGCAAACAAATTCTGTTTGACCTCCAGTGGCACTACCGTATGGCTGGAAAGGGAGCTTTTAGCAGCTCTGTTTTTACAGAGGAAGAGATGGTAGAATACATAAGTTTATTGAGAGCTACTCACCTAACCTTATTCTTTCATCTGTGTCCATTCCTGGGAGATGCAGGGATTATTCTGGCACTACTACCACCATTCCATTAGTCAGAATAGGGAAAAGCTGGAATAATTGGAGCTGAATTTTATTAATGTGATGTGTTCAGGCTGCTTCCTATGTATTTCTTAACAATGGTCCAATAATACAATCTAATTTCTCCTTATGCTGTTGTGCAATGTCACACGGATATGAGAAAATGCTAGTTTGAAAATAATTTTAAAGGTATCTGATTGCTTCTGATTGTTTGTATTCTTTCTCTAAGTGTAAGCATCTGAAAAAAGTACTGTCAAATACTCAAATAGTCTTCAACATATGACCATTTGCTTAGTAACTGAAGTTACAACAGCACTGGAATGGTTACAACCATTTACAACTGATCCTTGCACTTATGACCGTCACAGCATCTCTGTGGTCACGTGGTCAAAAATCAGGCACTTGGCAACCAGCATGTTACTTACAACCGTTTTAGCATCCTGGTGTCACTTTACTATCACTTTACTGTCAGATTTACTATCTTCCCAATTGGCTTCTAATGAGCAAAGTCAATGGGAGAAGTCATATTCACCAAAAGCTTTTGATTCACTTAATGGCCATGGTGATTAGCTTAGCAAAAAAAGGTCATAAAATTGGGTGCAACTCAGTTAATTACGGCTTTTCTGGCTAACAGACATTCTGGTTGCAATTGTAGTCGTACGTTGAAGACAACCTGAATCAGATTTAGATAAAATTATATAAATTCAAGTAACAAGAGAAATGGGATCTTCTGGAATTCTTAGGAATACTTGTTTTTGTGCAATATAATGACACCTTTCCCTCCCCCCCCTCTTTTTAAAAGAAAAGCCTTTATTGTTGTCAATCGCCTGTGTTGGCTGTGTTTGTTGCAAATTTTCTGAGCTTTGAAGAGGTTTCCCCCCCCCATCATCTATTATTCCCAGATGAATGTTCTAAGACGGCAGCAGCGCATGATAAAAAACCGGGAATCTGCTTGTCAGTCACGGAGGAAGAAAAAGGAATATATGCAGGGTTTAGAAGCTAGACTAAAGAGTGCTTTGTTAGAAAACGATCATCTTAAAAGAGAGAATGGTTCACTGAAGAGACAACTAGATGAGCTGGCAGTAGAGGTAAGTGTATTAATTATGAAAAATTGCTTTCTATGGAACTAAGTGTTGCCAAACATTGAAAATGTGATATCGTAGAGTGAAAAAGCCATAGAAAATCAAATGAAACAAATTCCACAGACAGCGTATCAAACAATATATGGCCAGGTCAACCAGACGTATAATCCATCTCCCGGAAGATGGATTGTCTATTGTCCTGGCCCAATGCTTGCAGAAAAACTAGGACTTTGAAGCTTTTTAGAAGACTTAATAGGATTATGGTCATCCAAATCTGGGTAGAGAAGATCATTACAAAGGGAAGGTGCTGCCACAGAAAAGGTACACTTCCCATCATATCCTCAGGGAAGGGATCTAGAACATGCTCATTCAGCTATGGCAGAAATAGAGCAAATGACCCCACAGATAATCTGACCCCGTGCCATGCAGGGTAGATGGCATAATAAGTACTAAGAATTGCATTTGGAAGTCTGTTGAGAGTTTCTGCAGGTTGTGCAATAATGTTACATGGATCACCAGTGCCACTGCATCATGGACTAATTTCAGCTCCTTCATGGTCTTTGAAGGTAGCCACATGTTGTCCTCATTGCATTAATCCAACCAGCAGGGAACTAAGGTATGAGGGAGCATAAATGAGGCCTTCCAATCCAGTAAGAAAGAGATACAGTTGGCACACAAGATGGAATCGTGCAAAGGTCCTCCTGCCCATGACTGCTACCTGTTCTTCAAACAGGAACCAAGTTCAGGAATTTCCCAAATTGCACACTGATCCTGTGAGTCCCACCTCTTCAAGAAACAACTATGGAAAACTTCTGTATTCAGGTTCTGACGAGACACAAAATATATAGCCTCTTGGGCTTACTAGGGTTAAACCAAAGCCTGTTCTTCCCACAGTATCAAATAGCACATGATACTTAATGCTAGGAATAATCTCACTCAGTGGCTTCATGTAGGTATTAAAAATGGGGAAAGAATAGACCCATGAGACACCCACAAGAGCAGGTGTTTAGAACAAGACCTTTCTGTCCCAGAGAAAACAGGAATACCATAATAACACCCTCTTAACCCTTAGCTGTCCAAAAGGGTGTGATGAAAGATTGGTAAGTGTTCAAGGAGGGTCAGGATGGATGCACTTCCCTTATTCCAATCCTGTGATCAACAAATGAGACTAAAGGTATTTTAGTACTATATCTGAAAATGGCCAGATAACCAATTTCCTCCAGAGCTGCCAGCCAATCACCTTCCTCAGGAAAGTTGCTCATCATGGTAAATGCTGCCAAAGCTAAGGCACACACATTCAGTGAGTGCATCTTTCCAATATAATTCATGCTAACTGAATTAAAAGTGGGCAAGCTAAGTTAATAGGCGGTATCCCTCATTGAGCAACCTCTTGATACCAGCAACTTGATCATTAAGTGAAGCAATTGTTAAGTGAAACATCACAATTTTATAATTTTATTTTAACTTTGCTTTGCAGACCTGCAAAGGTTGTAAATGCGAGGACTGGTATAACCATAGTAACTGCTAGCAATCACTAAATGAATCAGTTACTAAACAGGAATTACCTGTAGATCTTAATAGTTATGAATAAAATAATTTGAGCAATTCCTTCTACCTTTGTCATCCAGTACACATACCTGATTGAGCAATCCTTTGAACATTGATCAGGACATGTATATTTTGTGATTGTCATATAGGCATATAATTTCTCCTGCTCATTGAGATCTCCAATGACATTTGCAATATTGGGAAAAGGATGAGAAAAACGAACAATAGTAGCTAGTATTGTTTTTAACCAAGGCTGCTGCCCCTTGATTGCCCTTTCAATGTTGAAAGTGAAGCTAGTTGATTATTATTTTTTCCTTTAATTTTCCATTTTCTATCTAGAATCAGAATCTCAAAGGTTCCCCACCAAAAAGAAGAGCATTCTGCGTGATGGTTTTGCTTGCTTTTGTAATGCTAAATTATGATCGGCTAAGGTAAGATTCATAGGGAAGAATATATTTGGGGGTAGTTGCAAAATAAGCACAAAATATGAGCTTATAATTTAGTTCTCACTTCAGTAGTAGTTTCTTGGGATTAGCTGGTAAAATTCTATTGATTTTATTGACTACTTACCAATCTTCCACTGGAAATGCATCTGTGGGCAAGCGGAATGACAATGACCTCGAGAGTTTTTTGGATATCGCAGCAGAATCTTCTACTACATAGTGATTGTATGATAGACAAATAATATGTGTCTATCATATAATCATTTGTTTTTCAAACGTGTGGTGTTCCTGATTATTATAGTTGAAAACCACTGGCTTAGATTATGACAACATTGGGAATTGCAGGATCTGAATCCAGCAAGGTTGGAAATAAAGTCTGAGATAAGTAAAGATTGTTTTCAAAACACCGTACAGATACTCAACATCCAGGACTGAGAAATGGGCAGCAAAATGTCTATTACTATATAAAGATATGAGAAAGTGACATATGATTCAAACACTGGAGTCAATTTTTAAGTATGGCTCTATTTCTGGATTCTGCTATAGCTGTTCTTCATCATTAATAACATTTATTCTACACCTGCAGTAAAGATAACTTATCTAAGTTTCACCTTTGAGTCTTCTGCTCTGTGTTTTTCTATTTACAGAGAGATTTATTGCTATGCCCAGGCTGAACTGTGACAGGAGCAAACTTTTCTTATAAAAAAGAACTTAAGTATTTGTGAAAGACATAGCAGTGGAATTGAGCATTACAGAAGAAACATAACATATTCAAAGAATAGGGAGAACATTTTTTGGCATTCAAGAAATCCATATTCCCAGTGTCACCCCAAGAACTGACTAGAGTTTCCTCAGTGCTTTTGTTGGCCATTCTCAGAAAGATTATATGAGCAACATCACCAACATTTATTATGCAGAGGGTTTTTTTTTGTACTGTTCTCTGTATCTTTAGATTCTTTCATTGTTCTTGTTATTCTTTATACAGCATGTATATACTTTATTGAAAATCTTACAACAGTTTCAAAGGCAACTGTAGGTAATAGCACTTCGGCTAACATTGTTTTATATAAAAACGAAATACCACTCACGCAGTATCATGAAAGCTCCAGAACCATAAAGCCTACAAACTTGAAATTTGGCACATATGTTCCTCTTGGCTTCTAGGTGCTCGCTAAGAAAGGATTTTTCAGAGCATTAGTATTTCATATATTATTATTAACATGCTCTGATGCTAAGGAGTTCTACTCCCCTTCCCCACCTGAAAATAACTCTGTTCCAACTGCAAGTTGCCTCACATTCCATTACCTTAGTAACTCTATAGCTATTTGCACCACTCAGGTGACCCAAGGACACTGACAAACCTCCAAGTTGCCTCAACAATTCTCTAAAAGGATGCAAACTACACTTCCAAACAGGAATGTACTTTGCCCTCAAAGGTTGTAGTATTTTTATTACCCACCATCCAGTCAGAGCCGAAGAAGCTCCTTGGATGAGAAGCAAAACATCTTCAAAGAAAAACCAGAAAGTTCAGTTGCCTCCTGAAAAAAAGCATCATTGAGACAACAGTTGGAGGATTGTATTTTACAACACAATAAAATACAATCCTGGTAATCCATCTCTCCATCATCCATCCATCCATCCATATGCTGGATGGATGGATGGATGGAAGGATGATGGAGAGATGGAAAGGAAAGGAATAAGGAAGGAAGGGAAAGGAGGAAAGGAGGATGGGAAGGGAAAGAATAGCCCGAGCACATAGTTTTATCGCGAAGCACAGGTATCCAGCTAGTAGTTAAAATATAATTGATTTTTATAATCAATTCAGTTCTTTGTGGTATTGTCCATTTCAAGGCTTTTGTGGAAGGTTTGTCTGGAAAGGGAAAGATCTTTCTCCTGGCATTTGCCTGTGTCATCAGTTTTTCATTTAAACTGCTTAAACTTCCCAGCCCCAATTCAGGATTGTTTTGTCCTTAGAAAACTTTTATAACTAGCATGTGTTTAGGATGAGATCATTGTTGGCAGGAGCAAAGCAGTTACTGTACAATTTAAATTGTCTGGTTCTTTTACTTAAACAGAGCTTGTTTTTAGCCAGATGTAGAAATCATATCCAGTTCAGCTAGCTGGACAGATAGCCTTCCAATTTGTCAAAATAATATGTGGCCCAGAGAAGATAGAGTAGAACTAAGCACTGAATGATGTTGGGCAAACTTGTATGTTGCTGATCAAGCTCCTGGTTGTGTGTTCTTCTTTTCCTCTTTCAATCTACTCATTCTATTTCATTGCTGAGCATTACTCAGTGAACCATATAGCTCAAAAGGAGCCCTGAAGTCAGTCCTTGATTTGCTGAATTTGACTTTCAGGAAGTCATCGTTATCTTTACTGTATGCCAATGTCAGTAGCAGTACAGTCGAACATACTTTTTATGTGCAGTATCTGGGGAAAAATTGTCTCTGCTGCTTGGCTCAAAGTTTGGCTCAAAGTTAACTTCCATGTTTAGCATAATAGAAAGTTTCTTGCTGAAGAGACTACAGCTCTTGTCAGGAGCTCTCTTGTGTGGTGAATGAAGTCACTGACTAGGAATCTGGAATCCTGTTTGAGGCTCATGCAAAAGGTTTGTTCCATTTCAAGAGGGGCAATAGGTTCTTGACCATATAAGAAATTATTTGTGAATAGTTCCAACTACATTTTCTTTAAAGGACAAGAATATTTTTTCCAATGTACTGCATTATTAAAATTAAGTGCATAATTAAAATTGAGGATAACACATAGTCTACATACAATAATTGAAGCAATAAATATTATCCTCATAGATTACAAGAACAATTGCTTGCTCTGTTGATTTAATACTTCACATTGGATATGAATTTTGTAAATCTAGTTACCATACCGTACCATACCATACCATATGTAGAAAACCAGTTTTGGCACCTCCTAATTGTAAAAAAAATATAAAAAAAAATAGTGCAATGTCCAGGGCAAAGTCAGAAGTAGCAAGTGTGTTCAAGCCATGAACTGCATAATTAGTGCGTTGAGAAAGTATTCAGACCTCCTTCACTTTTGTCAATTTTGTTACACTGCAGCCTGATTCTACAGTTGTTGAAATTCATTTTTTCTCATTAATCCACACTCAGTTCCCGATAATGACAAAGTGAATTTTAGAATTTTAAAATGTTAGAATTTAAATTTATATTCTAAAATTTTAGAAATGTCTGTACATTTATTAAAAAGAAAAAAATCTGAAATATCACAGTGGCATAAGTATTCAGACCCTTCACTCAGTATTTTGTTGAAGCACCTTTGCAGCAATAACAGCCTTGAGTCTTTTTGGGTATGACGTGACAAACTTTGCACACCTGAATTGGGGGATTTTCTTTCTTGCAAATCCTCTGAAGACTCAATCAGGTTGAATGGCAGCTGTTGGTGGACAACCATATTCAGGTCCCTCCAGAGATGTTCAATAGGGTTCAGGTCAGTGCTCTGACTCTAGGACATTCATAGAGTTGTCCCTAAGCCACTCCTATGTTGTCTTGGCTGTGTGCTTATGTGTACTTACGTGTACAGCCCAGTCTGAGGTCCTGAATGCCATGGAACAGGTTTTCATTGAGAATATCCCCCGTACTTTGCTCCATTCAGCTTTTCCTCAACCCTGGCCAGTCTCCCAATCCCTGCTGCTGAAAACCACCCTCACAGCATGATGCTGCCACCACCGTGCTTCACTGTTGGGATGATACTGGGCAGGTGATGAATGGTGCCTGTTTCCTCCAGATATAACATTTAGAATTGAGGCCAGTCAGTTCAATCTTGGTTTCATCGGACCAGAAAATCTTGTTCGTCACAGTCTGAGAGTCCTTCAGGTGCTTTTTTGCAAACTCCAAGTGGGCTTTCATGTGTTTTGTTTGGGGAGAGGCATCTGTCTAGTCCACGGGTGTCAAACTCAACTTGTCACGTTGCCATCATGTGATGTATCGTGATTATTTTTCCCTTTGCAGAGCTGGGGTGAGTGTGGCCTGCGTGTGACACATCCAGCCTGCAGGCCGCCAGTTTGACACCGCTGGTCTAGCCACTCTGCCATAAAGCCCAGATCGGTGCAGTGATGGTTGTCCTTCTGGAACTCTATCCCATCTCCATTCAGGACCTCTCTTACTTAAGGCCCTTCTTCCTAGATTGCTCAGTTTGACTGGACAACCATCTCTTGGAAGAGTCCTGGTTGTGCCAAACTTCTTCCATTTGAGAATTACGGAGGCCACTGTGCTCTTAGCAAACTTCAGTGCAGCAGAAATTTTATTGGAGCTTTCTCCAGATCTCTGCCTTGCCATAATCCTGTCTCTAAACTTTGCAGGCAGCTCCTTTGACTTCATGGCTTTTGCAGTGTATGCATTGTCAGCTGTGAGGCCTTCTATAGAGAGGTGTGTGCCTTTCCAAATCATGTCCAGTAAATTTAATTTACCACAGGTCGACTCCAATCAAGGTGTAGAAACATGTCAGCAATGATCAAGAGAAATGGGAGGCACCTGAGCTAAATTTCAAATGTCGTTGCAAAGGGTTTGAATACTTATGCCAATGTGATATTTCAGGTTTTTTTCTTTACAGACATTTCTTATACCTTCTTTTTTCACTTTGTCATTATGGGTACTGATGAGAAGAAAAATGAATTTCAATAACAGTAGAATCAGGTTGCAACATAACAAAATTAACAAAAGTGAAGGTGGTCTGAATACTGTATTTTCTGAATGGACTGTAATTCCTAAGTACTTTGTTCCTTTCCTTTCCTTTTGTTTTTTGCTGCGGTAGCTATGTCATCCTGGAAACAGAGGCAGCTCCCTATTGAATTACAGATAGATAATATGTTTGCGCTGCCATAAATAGCAGATAACAGAATAACAGAGTTGGAAAGGACCTTGGAGATCTTCTAGTCCAATCCCCTGCTCAAACAGGAGACTCTAGATCATTCCAGTCAAGTGGCTGTCCAGTCTATTCTTAAAAACCTCCAGTGAAGGAGCCCACAACTTTGGAAAGCAAGCCAGTTAATTGTTCTCACTGTTAGGAAATTTCTCCGTAGTTCTAGGTTGCTTCTCTCCTTGATTGGTTTCCACCCATTGTTTCTTGTCTTGCCTTCTGGTGCTTTGGACAATAGATTGAGCCCCTCTTCTTTGTGGTAGCTCCTCAAATATCGGAAGACTTCTATAATGTCATCCAGGTCTTTTCTTTTCACTAGACTAGATAAACCCAATTCCTTGTTCTTCATTTGAATAGAATAGAATACTTTTATTGGCCAAGTGTGGTTGGACACACAAGGAATTGTCTTGGTGTAAATACTCTCAGTATACATTAAAAAAAAGATACATTCATCAGGAGTCGAGAATCAACACTTAATGATAGTCAAAGGGTACAATCAATCATACTAGGAAACAGTCAATATAAATCGTAAGGATACAAGCAACAAAGTTACAGTCTTACAATCACAAGTGGGAGGGGATGGGTGATAAGGAGTGATGAGAAGATTAACAGTGCAGACTTTGTAATAGCTGAACAGTGTTGAGGGAATTATTTGTTTAGCAGAGTGATGGCTTTTGGGGGAAAAACTGTTCTTGTGCCTAGTTGTTCTGGTGTGCGGTGCTCTGTAGCGTCATTTTGAGGGAAGGAGTTGAAACAGTTTATGTCTGGGACGTGAGGGGTCTGTAAATATTTTCACAGCCCTCTTTTTGACTCGTGCAGTATACAGGTCCTCGATTGAAGGCAAGTTGGTAATAATTGTTTTTTGTTTTAGCCTCCAGCCCCCTACTGTAGTGTTGGATTCTTACCCCTAGAACAATGATGGCTAACCTTTTCGGGACTGAGGGCCCAAAGCGCGCAAGCATGCACATCCCCAAAATGCAATACGTGTGCGTGCCCCACGCGTGGGCCCTGCCCCCTTGCGTGCACGTTCATTCCATGCATGCGTCCCCATGCCTGCATGCGCATCCCCTGTGCATGCATACAACCGGAGGTTTCCCCCACATGCAGCCTGTCCCCGCACATGCGCCACAGAGACCTGAACACCAGCTGGCCGGCGGGAGGTGCACATGTGCATGCGTGGCAGAGCTGAGCTGGGGCAACAGCTCATAGAGAGGACCCTGTGTGCCACCTCTGGCACGCGTGCCATAGGTTCGCCATCACGGCCCTTGAAGATATTCAGCTCCATGATAGTACTCTTGGGTATAAATGTAAAGTAATTCCCTTTTAAAATTGTTTTTCCTATGTTTATAAAAGGAAACATGTTATGCTTGTGGTTCTGTATAAGACAGATTTTTAAATAAGGTGTTCACATTTGTGAATACATCCTAGAAAACTTATGGTCAAATGCCAGCTTTGTCTTCCAAAAATGAAAACAAAAAGCCCTTCTTTGTCTTAAGTCATATGAGTCTCCCAAAGCCTTAATCTAGCTACATGCCTTTGGTGTTGTTTTAAATAAAAATAACAAAATGTTGCCTCTTTCTGAGCTGCAAGACAGCTAATTGAAATAGTTTGGGCTCAAAACATTGACCTGGGTTCAACAATAGGAGGGGAGGGGAGCTCTCCCTGGGTCTCTCTTTGTTCCAGTGGAAACTTTGAAAGCAATAATATTCTCCCTCAAGGAGCAAGTTCACAGCATGGGGGGTCCTTCTCAACTCACAACAACCCTTTGAATAGGCAGAGGGAGGCTACCGATGAGGCGTGGAGAGCTGTGCCCATTTTCAGATGGTATCTCAGTTACACCCTTTCTGGAGAGTCAGGCCCTGGCAACAGTGATGTACATGCGTGTTTCCCCCAGGTTATATTATTGCAATTTATACTACATAGGTCTGCCTATGGAAACTACTTGATGGGTCCCAAAAAAGTAGCAGCCCACTTGTTAACAGACAAGCGCCACTGTTCGCACATAGCTCCAGGGCTTTGAGTGGCCACTGAGAGGCTTCTGAGTAGAATTAAAAGTCTAGGCCAGTGGTGGCTAACCTTTTTGGGTTCCCATGCAGAAAATTGCCCGTGCGCTCGGGTGCCAGCACCCAGAAGGCAATGTGCGCTTCCCCCCACGCCCCCTGCGCATGTGTGTGCAACCCCCCCGTGTTGCATGTCTCTGCACATGCACGTGCAATTCCCCCATGTGCCCCGCATGTCTGCACATGTACACATGTCTCCCGCACCCTCCTTGCATGTGTGCCAGATACCTGACAATCAGCTGTCAGGCTGGCAATGCACACGCATGGGCAATGGAGCTCTTCCGGGCGACCTCTCGCATGCCGGCAGAAGTGGCTGTGTGCCATTTCCAGCGTGCGTGCCATAGGAACACCATCACGGGTCTAGGCTTTGAGTTTTAAAACCTTATATGATTGGTACCCTGCTACTTTAAACACCACCCACTTGAAGTGGATCTCACCTGACCAGTACATAAATCTCACATTTTGGTTTTTCATGTGCACCACCATGTATTTATGCAGGATGCAACGTGAAGATGTACTGAATGTAAACTACTGTGTCTCTTGCTTTCAGTGGGTTTGAATGGGGACCTGATTCTGCTGAACATCTTGCCAGCACTAGCTACCAAAGTCGACATCTTCTTGAATTTTCTGCAAGCAGGTCTCAGGAAACAGATGGCAAGAATAATGATGGGTAAGCATAAAACTTCATACTTTAATGTCTTCCAGTTTGCAATATTCTACATATGCAAATGTAACAAATGGCTAACGTATTACTTATTTCTACTTAAGGGTCCATAATTGGGTTTTTTTTAATGATACAAAGCTATTTTGATCTGCTAACATTCCTCTCTGTCTCTGGTGCATGTATTGTGTCTCAGAAATGTTGAAAAAGTAACAAGACACAATTTCCCAACTATTCCTGAGGCTATCAGTGCTATGTGTCTGATCCCAAACTCTGATCTTACAAGTTGGGGAGTATTTGTGCTGCTGTGAAATTCTTGTTCTCACCATTTAACAGAGAAGTACTGTCTTTTCTAAGCAGAATTGATATCCTACGTAAAGCTGACCTTGCCATAATTCTGTATGTATTTGTCAGACCTAAAATATGTGTTTAGAACCTTCAGTTGCTACAAAATGCAGCTACAAGTTTTAACAGGAACTGCTCAATATATAGTTTTAAAATAAAATGAAGTTGCATATTATTTGATATTGTGTTGCTGATTTTGAATGGTTTCTCTGAGCATCTGAACTTGCTGCTATCTAGAAAAAAAGAAAAAGGGGAGAGTGTTTTGGTTAATATACGTAGTCCTCGACTTATGATCCCAGTCGAACCCAAAATTTCTGTTGTTAAGTAAGACATTTGTTCAGTGAGTTTGCTCTATTTTACAACCTTTCTTGCCACAGTTGTTAAGTGAATCACTGCAGTTGATAAGTTAGTAACTTAATTTATCAACTTATTCACAGATGTTAAGTGAATCTAGGTTTGCTTGTCAGAAGGTCGCAAAATGTTATCACAACAATTATAAATATAAACCAGTTGCCAAGCATCTGAATTTTGATCACATGGTCATGGGGATGCTGCAAAGGTCATAACTGAAAAACAGTCATAAGTCACATTTTTGGAGCCTTGATGGCACAGTGGTTAGAGTGCAGTACTGCAGGCCACTTCTGCTGACTATCGGCTGCCTGCAATTTGGCAGTTCAAATCCCACCTGGCTCAAGGTTGACTCAGCCTTCCATCCTTCTGAGGTGGGTAAAACGAGGACCCAAATTGTTGGGGGCAATATGCTGACTCTGTAAAACTGCTTAGAGAGGGCTGTAAAAGCACTATAAAGCGGTATATAAGTCTAAGTGCTATTGCTATTTTTCAGTGCTGTGGTAACTTTGAATGGTTACTAAATGAACTGTTGTAAGTCAAGGACTACCTGTGTTTTGTCTGAGGGCTGAAAACTAGTTTGTAAGTACAAAAACTAGCATTCATTCTTCACCTTCAGTATAAAGTAGGGCTTTGGATTCTGTGCTTTTCCAATTGTTGTTGGGTTACAATCATAGAAGTGGTCAGAGGAAAAGTACTTCGAGTCCAGCAGTATCAGGAGGGCCTCCTGTTCCTTATTCTAATGCTTTGTTCTGCAAAAGGACAAATGTATTTCAGAAAAAGTCTCTTCTAATTTTAGTTCTTATGTATCTCTTAGAAACAGTTATGTTCCAGTATCTTGCTGTCTCCCTCATTTTTTCTGCAACAACTTTGTTTTTCCCAGATGGATCAGTTTAACATTATTGGAAACTTTTGAAATCTTCTGAGATATAGGTTTTTCCCATTCCAAATAGGCCTGTTCTGAAGCAGTTTGTTCAAATAACCAAATCCAAACATTGGGGCGGAGGGCATTCAAACTGCTGGAACCTTTGTCTGGAAAATAATCTATTATTTTCTTTGGACATAGCAAGCATTCTATGTAGTGAACTTGGAAAAGCATTGGGAGTTTTCTTCTGTGCTGAGACAGATTCATATCAATTTATAGCCTGGAAAACAGTTCACCTTTTGGTGTTTAGAGCCATGATCTAAGAAGACCTTCTCAGGGCAAGTCTAGGTTTACTGGCATATACCTTTGGAATGGGAATTCATTTTACTTTTATCTTAATACGCTTTTTCTTTGTTAGTAGGACTAGCAGAGAGTTTAAGCTGATTATGGACCAAAAGCCAATGGAAAATCCTGCTCTAATTTGCCAAGGGAATGGCATGCCGAATATAGAGGCCTTTTATTGTTTGTTTTCTCCAGAGCCTTCCCTTTCTCTGCCTGAGCAAATTGTTCTGAGCAAAGTAGTTCAGAAGACTAGGCCTCAGGCTTGGAGGCTGAATTTTCTGTAACATACTGCGGTAGAGAGAAACAATATTGTTTAATTATTTAACTGACCTTAATTAAGTGAAGAAAGAAATTCTCCTCTTGGAAAGTGAATCTATGCTGACTTACTAAGGAATGCTCAGAAAATGGTTTGGAACAAGGGGTTTCCTCCTATTACATTACTTCACAGAGAGTAATAATCCAGTAGCATTAATACTACAGAGGATCAGCACTGGATATAACAGTGGTGAAAGCAAGATGCAGTCTGTTCATAAGAATTTACATTATATATGAGTATGTGAAACTTGGGTTCATATTTACAAAAATAAAGGAACCCAGCAAAACCTCTTGCAGGAGGAGCACTTAGCTGTTTGTAAGGTGGAAAGCTGTATTTGAACTTTTAGTGACAATTTGGAAGTATACCTCAAAGCATAGTTGGCCTAAGATGAAAACTAAATCTTGTTTAATTTTAAGCCATATTTCAATAAAATTAAATTAATTACCGGTAGTTTATGTTTTAAATCATTTAAAATTTATTACATTGAAAACATTGAAAGTACTTTCTGGAAGGAAGTTTGGTGGATTGGAAATTGTGCACTACTCTATTATAGTGTGGATTAAACAAATACAAAGGAATTGTGTTATAACAGCCATACAAGGAGTATTTACCAGAGAAGGAATATATAAGGAAGTAGTAATATCACCTCATACTCTTTTGGAAAATGAAGAAATGATTGGGGGAAAAGGAAAAACAACAAAAAAGCATGCACATATCTACTTAATAATAATAATGTCTTTATTGATTAGCCCTTGGGCCATATCAAAGCGCAGAGTTCCTGCAACAAATTGTTACTAAAATTTAACATATCTACTTGAATGCTACCAACAAATGTTGGTTAAGATCTTAATCCAAAACTTTTTAAACTGTGCATTTCCCTTCCTGGTGCCCCTCAGTGCTATTGAGAGAACACATGTAGCTCAGGTTCTTGGCATTCTTTCAGGCTTGATTGTTTTGCAGATATTTCGTTACCTGTCAGCTCTTGGGATGATTATGTTATCCAGTCTGGTTATGGAATGACTGCAAGAAAGCAACCAAGCTCAGAGAGCATCAAGAACGTAATAGTTTTGTTGGTTTCAGGCAATTCAGGTAGTCCTTGACTTACCATTCATTTAGTGACCATTCAAAGTTACAACAGCACTGAAAAAGGTGACTTAACATTCACCTTTTAGCATTTACGACTGTTGCAGCATCTCCGTGGTTATGTGATCAAAAATTGGGCTCTTAGCAACTGGCTCATTTATGACTGTTGCAGTGTCCTGGGGTCATTTGTTCACCTTTTGTGACCTTCTGTTAAACAAAATTAGTAGGGAAGCCAGATTCACTTAGCGACCATGTTACTAGCTTAACAACTATAATGATTCACTTAAAAACTGTGGCAAGAAAAGTTGTAAAATAGGGCAAAAGTCACTTAACAACTGTCTTGCTTAACAACAGACATTTTGGGGCTGAATTGTTGTAAGTCAATGACTCCTGTATTACCCCAGAGACATCAGTGTGACACTAGAGTGCAAATTCCACTTGCAGCTCAGAAGAAGATCCCTTCCTCTGGGTGGCTACGTGAACATTTCTAGAAGTATAACTCTTCTGATCTTGACATTTTTAAGTGTGCCTGTGGTTGCTGTCTGGTGGCTCAAATGCCTAGAATGATTTCCATTGATTGTTTGCAAATGTTCTTGTTGGCTTGTTGCAGAAGTGTACTTTAGGCATTAAGTAAATGTGCATTTAATCATCTTCTGATTGAAATTTGGCTTTTTCAGCTAATAGGTGATTCAAACCTAACAGGTTTGAATTTCATTTCCAAGATAGCCACAGATGTGCCAAAAGCATAAATAGTTGAAAATGTTTTGAAATCAGGCAGTAAAATGAGACTCTTTGTAATGTCTTTACAATTAAAATTCTGTATCATAAACTATGCACAGTCATGACCGTTGAAAGAAAGCCAATATTGTTTGTGTTTGAACTTTCTGAAACAGAGGCCCTTTGGGGTAGAAAAATAGAATTTCCCATTCTGTCTTCTTCACACGTGTAATATCAGCCTACTTCATTGCTGAATTTATAATATTTTGGTTCATTTGATTTGACTATCTACTCCCTGGCCTACATCTTAGATTCCAGGTGCTGGTGGAGATAAGGATTAGTACTTCACCACAGCTACTCTTCTGTTTAGAATAGTCAGCTCACTCTTCTGTTAATGCCTCATCTGTTTTGCATCTTTTTCTTCTTCTTTCTATGCTTGATTCTGAGAGCTCATATTGCACTGTTGTGATGTATTTATTTTACACTCACTGCCTCATTCTTTTCTTGACTATGTTCCACCTAATCCCAGCTCTGATTCCCCCATGTTCTGTTTGACTGAGCCTGCCCTTCCTAATGTTCCAAGAATTCTTGTGTGGTCATACACGTGGCTGATTCTCAGTCCAATTTTTTAGCCAGGCATTGTTCTTGCCTTTTCTTGTTCTTCCCTTTGAGCTTTTGCATCCTTGTCTTGTTATTCTCAGTTATTTCAGACTTGTATATTTGCTTCTGGTAAACTGTAGGAATTGCCCTTGCCTTGCTCATACTTCTTTCTTCCAAACTTCTCGCTTTTCAAGTAAAAGTGAAAAACATTTCAAAATCTATTTTTCAGGGTTGGTTGGTTTGCTTGCCAGTTTCAAGTGCTGGATTCTTGAAATAGAGATAGTTGGAAAGGAGAGTAATAACTCTCTTGTAGGATTTTCAGCTGCAAGGATTTGTGCAGTGAACATAGATGCATACTTTGCATAATCATAATGTTAGAAATGGGCTCAGATATCACCTTCTCCAACAATGTAGAATCTGTTAGAGCATCTCTGACAGACAGACATTAAAGGCTCTGTTTGAAGATCTCCATGAAGAATTCTGCACTTTGTATAGCATCCTGTTCCACTAGTTGATACCTTGTATATTCACAAAGTTGTAACCTGAACCTACTTCCCTAGAGTTTTTTAACCAATTGGTTCTTGGCCTGCCTCCTGCAGAAATAAAGAATAAGTTCACTCCTTCTTGTGTGACTGTCCTTCAGGTATTTGAAGACTGCTGTCATATTTCCCTCCAATTTTCTATTCTATAGGCTAAACATACCCAGATGTTTTAAAGGTTCCTCATAGCGCCTGTTTTGAAATCCCTCATCTTAGTAGCCTTCCTCTGAACTTGTTCCTATTTGTCATGATCCTTTTCAAGTGATAGTGCCTTGAACTAGATACAGTGCCCTTAGTGCGGTTGACCAGGGCAGAGTAGTCTGGAACATTTACTTTTTTAACAGCTATAATGCATTGCTGCTTCATACTTAACTTGTGAGTACCAACGGTATGTGGAATCTTTTCACATGTGCTATTGCCAAGATAGGCCTTCCCCATGTGTTCCTTTTTGATCCAGATGCAGAATTGTATCCTCTTCCCTGTTGACATCCATCCTTTTTTTCAGGCCAATTCTTTATTTTATTTTTCTAAACTTATGTCTTATATCAATAGTGTTACTCCCATCCCAGTTTGTGTCATTTCCAAACTTGATATGAAATCTCTTAATCAAGTCAGTGATAAAAATCTTAAGCTTTGAGACTTCACTCAGTATTTCCCTCACAGCCAAGTGGGGCGATTAATGTACATTCTTTTGTTGTGGTAATTCAGTCAACAGTGAATCCGTTTAACAGTGATATCAACTGGTTCATATCTTATCATTTATGAAAGAAAATATTATACTCAGCCATATGTTTTTACTGAACGAACAAAAGATTTTGTATCCTACTTGATTTTAATCTATTTTACCTTTACCTTGATTTCATTTGTTGAATTATTTTATTAGTTTCACAGGTGCCATTCTGTTTTTTTAATTTACTGCTTGTCTGTATAATACATTTATTTTAAAATAATGTACAATGTTAAATATTTTAAAAAATTATTTCCTAGATATAAGCCATCGGTTTCGGATAACAAGGCACTCATGGTAGTTACTGAGGAACCAATAATATATGTTCCTCCCCGACCTTGCCAGCCATTTATCAACCGGACAGAATCACTCAGGTAAGCTGTTTGCTTATAAATAGTAGAGATGTTAGATGCCAGATAAGCATTAGGACCTAATGTTTGACTTCCTCAGTATTCAGTTCATTGGATGTATAAATGAAACTGGCTGGTGTCTTAATGATTAAAAGGAACATGTAAGTAACAAGCCAAAAGAGCAACCTGGATAATTTTCCTATATTGGATTTATAAGAGAGACTTGTTAAAGTTTTGAACAATTTTGTGACAAGGGACAAAGAAAAAATGAAAAGAAATCAAGTTCTAGGGCATTATTTAAAGACATCAAGATTGTTAAAAGTAAAAGAAAGAAATATCAAGTTAGTTTATTGATTAAGTATAAAGTAGACATGTTGTTATCTCTGGTAATCTTTAATGGACTTTTGCTAATGAGTACTGAACAACAAGCTTTTAAGGATTTGTTTATAGAAAGATCAGATATGAGAAGAGATCAGTGTTGTATATTAAGAGAAGACAAGTTACTATAATTGTTTATACTGTACTGTGATGAAGTTATTTATATATTTCTTTTTCTTTAGTATAGTCATATTGTTTCTTTTCTATTTCTATTTTTTATTTCCCTTAGTATATTCTTATTGTTTCTTTTCTATTTTTACTTCTATTTTCTGAACTTTGTATTTTTTTCTCTATTGTATCTTTCTTAGTTCTCATTTTTATATTTTTAATTGTAATATTGAATAAAATTACTATATTAAAAAGTATCCTCTCATGCATTTTATGCATTTCAAATAAATTCTGTAATATTGACAGAATATTTAGTCAACACAATGAGTTAGGATGGCAATTTATTGGATGATTTGTTGATGAGCTTGCAACTCCATGTCCATTTCAGTGTCATAGTTCAAAGCAAATGTGTTTGATTGGCAGCTGTTCTGGAGTTTATGTAGTACATTCCAAATATCATTTAGGAATAAGAAATCTACTTATATCTTACCAATCTTCCCCTATCTGAGGCAGCTACAAACTGATTAAGAGATCCAAATTCAAATATTGAAATCTGATATAGATAAAGTGAGACATTATTTCTGAGATTCTTTTTTGAGGGTATAAACAAGAGACTAACCTGAATATGAGTTCAAAATCAGTACTTTTAAGTTATTATGGAGAATGTTGTCCTTGAATATATTTTTTTCATTCCTACCATTATTCTGTTTAACTTTCATGTTATTTGTAAAGGTTAAGTCATGAACTAAGAGGTTGGGTACATAGACATGAAGCAGAAAGAACAAGATCAAGAAGGCTGTCAAATAATCAGCAGCAAAAAGAGCAGACTGTCCAGGTAGGTTTGTGGAATCATTTATAATTTATGGCAGCAGGAGAAGAGAAGGAGGAAAAATATGGTCCTCGGGCCCAGATCAAAAAGAGAATGCATGTCCTGGGGAATGAACAAAATTCTGATATTGTATTCCAGGGTCCCTATCTCTGTTCCTTTGTTATTTAGGTGATTCTGGAATATGAAATTACTCTTTTTTAAAAAAATATCTGCATTTCTGGATTATGGTTTACAGTTTATGGCGTTTTTTGGATAGGCCATTGGTTTTATGATATTTTATGCTAACTGCTATGCAAATATTGTTATATTTAAATAAAAACTGGTGGTCTTTATGTGAAAAGCATACGCTTTTTACAATTTGGTGCTGTTTGGATGGGGATTGTGAATTTTCTTGCATGCTTACAATGTATGCCTACAATGACTATGAAAACAGACTAACTGATGCATACCCAGTGGCATACGTGTTGCAATTACTAAGGCCCATGTTAGTGTTTTGTTAACATTTTCATTGTTTGTGGCCCTGAAAAGGACCGTTTAGGTAACCAAACATGGTTACTAATATGAAATTGGCCAGCCCTTATTGCTTATCACTAGATGGCATCACGTCGGCATAAACCGTATAAGCCTTTACATGTGATCTTTGGTGACAATGTGGTGCCAGGCTGCAATAATGGATTCAGTCAGCTCCTGCTTGGTCTTTGGATGCTTCTTGATTATTTTGTAACCAATCTTGGCCCACAAGTTCTCAATTGGGTTCAAATCCGGGCTCTGAACTGGCCAATCCAGGAGTCGAACACATGCTTCTCTATCCACTGCTGGATGGACTTGGCTTTATGACAAGGAGTTGTCATCTTGGAAGTAAAAGTCCTTCCCTACAAGTTGCTGAGCTGAAGGAAGCATGGTCTTTTCCAGGACTTCAACATATTGCTTGGAATTCATGATTCCCTGCATGATTTGTATCCGACAATACCAGAAGCAGCAATACAGCCCCAGATCATCACATGCAATGGATGCTTCACAGATAGATTCAGGCAGTACAACCTAAATTCTTCAGCTGGAAATCTTCTGACATACTTATTGCACTGATTCCCAGTCAAGTAGAAATTGCTCTCGTCACTGAAGATGAACTTGCATATTTCTTGGCCCACACACGTCGACGAGAGTGGTGAGCGTCTGTGAGCAAAGGTTTACTTCGAGCCCTGCAGCCCTTGAGCCCTTTGGCAAGCAGTCTGCAACGCACTGTGCTTGTACCCACTTTTACATCACATGTTTCACCCCAAATTCTTGTAATCTGATGTCAGCCTTCTAAATGCGTTGCAGAGCCAGATCTTGCCATTTTTGTTGACTTTCTTGGTCTTCCAAGAGCGGAGTCTGTCATCAACTGAACCAATTATTTGGTATTTTTCAACAACTCTGCTCACTGTGGTGCAATGACATTTCACTCTCTTGGTTATTTCTGTACAGGAGTAACCCTCTTCATGAAGCACAATGATGCGATGCCGCTGCTCAGTACTTACGAAAGCAAAGGCCTTCATCCTTGCCCGCTTGCCAGAGCTAAATTAAATTTCTCAATGCTTTTCATGCCTATTTATAGTCAGAGAGTATGACTACATTGATTGGCTCATAGATTTAGCCTGTTTGGTCAGCCAAAGCTCGCTGCTGATTGGCTACCTTCTCGAAAATGCAAGTTGTGTTTATTCTAGCACATAAGCTCATTCAAAACCTTTAAAAGACTTTAGTTATATTAATAAAAATTATGCATCTCAATCCGACTACATAAATTTTCATCGAAGTACTAATTTTGCGTGGTTTCTATGAGTGAAAAGTTGATTAAACATGTAAATACAGCTTAAAACTGAAAGCGTGCAGGACTTTTTCACGCAGCTCTGTGTGTGTGTGTGTGTGTGTGTGTGTGTGTGTGTGTGTGTGTGCATGCGCGCACACACACACACACACACACACACAGAGCTGTGTGAAAAAGTCCTGAACGCTTAAATAAAATAAATAAAATTATATTTTTTCCTGCACATTGATATATCTTCTATAGAACTTCAGTAATGCTAAATCAAAGTTGTCTTTAAGTGATACTTACTTTTTATATTTAATTTGGTGATAAGTTATTTTCTTGTTCATTTTTTTTCTATCTCCAGAGTTCTTCAGGAAAAAATTCTGAACTAATGGCTCTTCCTTATACAGACAATAGTGTTGGGTAAGTCAAAATAGAATCTTCTCATCAGCATAATATTATATAGTTTAAAATGTTGCCTTATGTAGGAAATATTTAATTGTTTTACTGAAAAGAGTCAGATGCATTTATTGGCAATCCCCTGTTAACCCAGTTTTCATTCAAGATTCATCTAGTCAAGTATTCTGTTTCCTACAGTGGCCAGATATATTTTTCTAGAAAATTCACAAATGTACACAAGAACATTAATATTCCCCTTTCATTAGTTCTGGAACCCAGGATACAGAAAATATTGAATATGTCTAATACCCAAGGCCTAACTGTCATGCATGAGCAATTTTTCCTACTGTTTCTACTCTGAAACAATTGTCTTGCTGCCATCAGCATATAAATTCCTTGATGCCTAAATATTATGATACTGTAGGTAAATATTATGATACTGTGTACTGATTTCTGGCTTTGTACAGTGATATCACAAATGCATTAAAGCATGCTATTCCTGATAATTTGGAGAGCAAATGATAGCAATAGCACTTAGACTTATATACCAATTTATAGCGCTTTACAGAGTCAGCCTATTGCCCCCAACAATCTGGGTTCTCATTTTACCCACCTCAGAAAGATGGAAGGCTGAGTCAACCTTGAGCCTGGAGAGATTCGATCTGCCAAATTGTAGGCAGCTGGCTGCAGCAGAAGTAGCCTGCAGTACTGCATTCTAACCACTGCGCCACTGAGGCTCTATTGGATGCTATTGGATGTTTGGCTTATGATATATTCAGATGCTTTATGTATGCTAGTTCCAATAGTATCTTCTCATGTATTTCAGTAGGAATTCAGGAAGTGAGCTACAGGTTTATTATGCTTCACCACGAAATTATCAAGATTTTTTTGATGAAATTCACAGAAGGGGAGATACATTTTATGTGGTGTCATTCCGTAGGGTAAGTATATTAAAATGTTCAGCAATTACAAACATGGAAACATTGTCCTTTTTTATAACATTCTATTCAATAATTTTTGAAAATTGTTGTTTTTTTGATGAGGCTAGTATATCTTTTTAAGTCCCTGAGCATTCTTGAGAAAAATTGTAAAATCTTGATTGTGAAATTATATTATAGCCTGTTATAAAAGTGTTTCCCTATGAAGAAGGAAAACAAATTCTCCATGAATTTGATCATAATTTATTGTTCCCCTGAGAAAAATGAGGACCATTATTCTTTATTGGGAGAAGAAAATGAGCGTAAATGAGATGTATATCTGAAAAATATCAGTACATATTCAAAAAATAAAATCATATAGTTTTCTCTTGTGCAAATGGATCTGTTCTGTTCAGGTGTTTTTCTTAATTTATGCTAAATAAATACATTTATTGGCATCACATCTTCTAGGTATTTGCAATGGTTTTGCAGGGATATCAGGAATAGCAGTTTTTGCAGCAAAATATAATGGAATAGGGAGTGAAAATATAATCAGGGTCTTGACAGCTTATAGAAACCAATTTGTATGTGAGAGGACAGCCATGGGAAACATCTATTTTTACATTATATCTACCCAACCTAGTAATACTTCCTAGAAGGATAAAAGGATCTATTTACATTGTGGAGTTATTCCCATATCTATCAGCAGATGGAGGTAATGTTTAATTTTATTTTAAGAAAGTTGTTTTTCAAACATTCTACTCCATCAGTTTGCCTGCTGAGAAATCTCTGTATATTATTATGGATTCTGGAAAATATTCAAATATGCTCATTGTTGTCCCATGTGTGGACATGTGTTGGTTCTCTTTTCATCCAATAATTGCATGTTGCAGTGAAAAAAATGGTAAAAATGAGAGAGCTTTTAGGAAAACTTATCCTACATCATTATCGTTTCTAGCAACTCTTGTACTTTTGCACAATGATTGATTAGCCCTTTAATCTCCCTCTTCTGAAAAAGATTCTTGAATGAATGGTGGCATCATGGATAAGCCATACAGATGGTTTCTTTGGATGCTGACGATGAACTGCACCATTATCACTGGCACTGCGTTAAATTTATTTTTCACTTTTCTTCTGGGAGACCCAGAGGTGGGATTTTGTGTCACAGTACTTCCACTTGCCTGAGCAACCTGGTCTTAGGGAATCGTTACTTAGCCTTCAGAATGGGGTTTTCAGACCTATATTTGCCATATTTTTAATTTGAAGGCAGAAAGACCATAGATTTGAAGGAAAGCTGCCATTTGCACTTAGTAGCACTAAGCTAGAGGCACTTGACATCAGCCTGGAAACAGGAAGATCGTGAATTTTAGACACATACAGCCTATTGAATCACCTTGGACCAATGACACTCAGCTTTAGGAAGGAGCCAATGACAAACAACTTCAAAAATATTGCCAAGAAAATTGCAGGGACCTGTTTAGGCAGTTGCTGGAGTCAAAAACTTATTTGAAGGCATTTAAACTAAAATATTAAGCTAGGTAGACATTGTCTCTGTGATTGGTGGTCTGGTGTTTGGAGCTGGGTCTCTTTATGCAAATTTCCATTTCTCTCCCCTCTCTAATCCTTTTGACTTCAAGCTAAGGAAGCTATGTGAGTCCTCTACCACTGTTGAATAGAGTAAAGGACTAATAAGGTAAATCAACTGGGATTCCAGGAAACAACAAAATTCTTCTATTCAGTAGATGAGACAACAAAGGATAGGGTTACAGTTTTATTTCAACTAAAGGATAAAGTATGCCCTTTAGAGATCCTTTGTCTTGAATTTTTCAAGAACAGAGAAAACAAGTATTTGGTTTAACTAAGAGCATCTGTTAAAAGTAATAAATAGATAAAAGTAATCAATAGATGAAATATTGAAATAGAATGTTTTAGCAATAGTCTTTATTTTGCTTTTATGCAGTATATAAATTACACATTTTAATAGACTGTATGAAGTTGCATATTGTGGAATATGTCATCAATGTCTTAATGTAAAGTTAATATTCAGCCTATTTCAATGTTTGATATTTAGTAAATGATAAAGATCCTTTTTATAGAATTGTAGAAGTGGAATGGAACCATTTAGCCTTTTGAATCAAAACCATTGCTCAGTTAGGAATCCAATGGAAAATGTACTATAATACATTTGGTAAAGGGAAATTATCTCTGATTCCAATGTCAAATTGTTCTAATTAGAATGTTTATAATATAATATAAAACTTCTTCTTTTCCCTGGTGTAAAAGTATATGCAGAATTACATTAACTTTCTACATTTTAAAAGATGTGGTCATATTTAGTATATATTTTTACTACACATTTGCAGACATATATAATCAGTCAATCAAATCTTTATTATGCTCATAGATCAGTATAAATTAACTAAATTGCACTATAAGTAAAAATTCACTAGCATATACAAACTTAGTGTTTTTTGTTTGTATGTGTATATTTTGAGACCCAGACAGAATTAGTTGATTTTTATGACTGAAATGTATGCATGTGCTGTATGTAGGTAGAACTTACTTAGGATTTTACTTAGTCTGGCACATATACTTGGAATTTTGAATGTATGTATGATTTGAGCACTCTCAAAATGACTGATGAGATGTTCATTCAGAAAGGGTTATCATGGCCAATTACAAAACGCATTTATTAAAATATAAAATGAGGAAATTTTTTGCCTGCTGTTTCTTCTCGTTCTTCCAAGATTTTTCCTACCACTCCCAGCATGAAGTTACCCTGTTTCTCCAACAATATGGCCTCCCCCAATAGGAAGTCCCAGCATGTTTTATAGGCATGAAATGAAATTAAGCCCCTCCCCCAAATTAAGGCCTATATTAAAACATGAGAAATGGGGGGAATGGTGGGGGGGCCTTGCCGTTAGAAAGTACTTTTGTTGCACACCCGGATATGGTGCTGCCTGCGTTGACCCCAATACGAAGTGCCCCACCAACGCCAAGGTCAACATCCAAGCCATTGCCGCCCGCCCACCCAAAGATGCAAGGGGGGGGGGAGAAAATTAAGTCACCCCCGAAAAGACGGCCTAGCCATTTTTTCGGGGCTCAAAAAAAAATAAGACCCGGCCTTATTATATGAGAAACACGGTAGATAAAATCTCTTTCATCTTGAGCTTCATTTCTGATTATTTGAAAGATATATTTATGCATCAAATCTTTATTATGATCAAAGATTAGCATTATGAGGGTGGGTATAGTCAATTAAAAAGGATTAAAAATACACTGAGTCGAAATTTTTTTAAAAAAGCTAAAAACAAATAAATATAAAAAAGAAAACGTCTAAAAGGAATATAAAAGGGGGGCGGTGGGAGTATTAGATGAGTGTAGGAAGACTATAAAGGTTAGTATATCACAATATAGAGCACTCTTAGAATGACAAACTAGATGCTCATTAATTCTAGCTTATCATCTGATAGATTTTAAATGCTTCTGTGCAGAACCTGACAACATGATAGGTTGTAACCGGGTTAGTATCTGAAAGCAGTAGAGACTGTAAAATTGTCATGTGCATCCTGGATATTTATGCAGTAATGACGAGACGAAGCTTAGTATGAATATGTTTGTAATGAAGATACTGGGAGAATACATGCTCTGTTGTTTCTGTATGACAATGTCCAGAAGCATTGTCTCTCCAGGTAGGAAAACTTTTGGGTATTGGAAGACAGCAGAGGGGAGGGCATGGCATCATACCAGAATAAACCTCTACCAGGAGTACTTCAAGATTAGTTAAGTATACCATAGGGGAGGCAGAGGGTTCACAGGCTAGGTCCAGTTGGTGCTCTTGTGTTTGCTATGTGCTGTTGAATGAGTGCCTTGGCCTAGTTATATTCTATGCTGAGTAAAAGGCTTGGAGAGAAGCCCAACTGTGAGATTTTACTTGCCATTGCCTTTTCCCATGTGGACTGAAAATCATCCTTCATAGTTAAATTGTATTTATGCAATTTTCTTGAAAACACTTTAAGAAGTGATTTGCTATTGCCAGAAAAAGAGAGAGAGGGAGGGAGAGAAACTTTCTAGGTTCCAGTCCTTTTGAGGGTAAAAGACTTAACATGTGTTGCCTTTGATTCCCTGAAGGAACAGAATAATATTTCCTTATTGATCACATTTTATTGTGATCATTATATTTCAGTTTTGTAGTAAAAACAAAAAAAAGTATATCAGGTTTCTTGGGGGGGGGGATTTGTTTATTCATATATTCCCTGCTGTTATTTTTACAGATAAGACAGCAAGCATACGAAGTAATCCTTTCTCCTTTGATTTCTCCCAACAACAATAACCCATGGAGGTGGGTTGGGCTGAGAGAGAGGGGTTGGCCCAAAGTCAACTAGATGTTTTTCATGCCTCAAGCAGGACTAGACCTCACAGTCTCCTGGTGTTTAGGCAACACCTTCATCACTGCAACTCAGGAAAGATCAATATGTGTACTCCAAGGTTCATTTTTGCAATTCTGAATGGCTATCTAGAATCTACTTGAAATTAAAGAGCCCAAATATGTAACTTCTCTTTTATAGTCTCTCATTGAGCCTTAATCTTGGTTTAAATAGAGTTGGTAAAACTGGAATATGTGTCGGTAAGAATAATAAAAAACTTAATCTTTTCCCAAATCTTACTTCCAAAATTACGCCCTCATTTTAAAATTGAAGTTGTTTAATAGTTGCAGAACAGGGAGTTTATGCAGGAGAACAGAACATTTATGAAGAGTTTTGCTGTTTTTCCGACAACGTAAAATTATTCTTTTCTTCCCAATCAGAAGTTAATCAGTCCCTTGAACTGACTTTCTGCCTTGAATTTATAAAGTCACAATTGTACTTTGGGCCATTTCCAGCTGCATTTTATTTCTCTCCAAAGTGCGCAATTGCAATTACTGATTTTATTGTATTGGTGTTAAATGCCCTTAACGCCAGGCAAGTTCCATTGATGTACTAGACTTCTCTTTCATATAACTCTTTTTTTCCGGAGCTAATTCCATACAGATGAAGCCTTTTCCCCTCCTTGGCTCTTTGTGTTTAGCCAAGTTTGCAATTATACAACAGACAATGTCTAGTGTGTTCTAAAGTCCAGGTGCAACAACAGTGAAATATCAGATGCCAATAGATCACAACACCACCTGTTGGTTAAGAATCATAGTAGCTTTTCTGATATTTAGCATCCCTGTATTATAATTAGTTTTTTCTTCTATTATCTATGCAGAGGACATAAAGCATATTCAGATTTATAAGAAACTATTTCTAGATTGGAAAGAAGATTGGGCTGCATCAGAAATAAAGTACCATGTTTCTTTGTAGTGGATTGTACCTAATTTTAAACATGTAAAGTAATAGGGTGGCATAAAATTCTTATGAGGATAAACAAAAAGAATATACTCTTAAAATGTAAAATAGTAGTAATTGTTTTCTTTGCTTTACATCTGACAGATAGTAACAGCAGATAATAAAATACTACCTTTTCAGATTAAGTATTCTGTGCCATTTTAAATTAATATGAATAGAAATCTCTTTTGTATCCAGAAGATTACTTTCTGAATAGTAATCCTCTGGCTTTTATATCTGCATGCTAGAGATCTTCTTGATGGGAAACACGATTATTATTGATGGATTACTGGGTGGCATAGTCGTTGGCAATCTGTTATTAGGTGCTTTAAAATTCTATGGCTAAATATTTAAACATTTGCATCCAGTGATCCCACATATTTATTTTCTGTCCCTCTTTCTCTGGATGTAGATATATACAAAATCTCCATACCTGCGATGCCGAACATTTTGGGCTCAACATATAAGAAATTCAGAAAATGCTTTCCTTGATTCTGCTGTCACATCCCACCCCAGGCAAATGAGACTCTACTTTCCTCCCAACTCTCCTCTCCAAACCCCCTAGAAGTTGCATGACAGGGCCTTATTCTTGCATTTTCTGGCACCTCAGAAAATTGCATGAGAATTCTCGTGATTTTGGGGGCCAGAGACTATATAAGAGCAAGACCTTCTTGTGCAACTTCCAGAGCTTCTGGAAGGCCTGGCATGTCACCAAAAATGGCATGATGTGTCACCTATGACCCATATGTCACAGATTCACCATCACTGCCCTAGGCTTTGGAATAGTCTGTTTGGATATTTTCTTACCATGCTCCAAGAAAAAGTTGGTTTCAGGATTGCATAGGAACTTCAGGACTGTTGTTTTCTTTATATTTTCCTTTTCCTGTGTCCTTTATTTTTACAGAAAAAATAAAATGTGTGAAATGCCAGAATTTAAAATGAAGTGGTACTCTGATGTTGTAAGTTTTTCCTCTTTTGCCACTTCCTTCCTGTTTTGACTCAATTTGAAAGAAAAGACACTTGCCAAATGGTGCTTCAGTTTAAATTTGGGGTCTGAATTCTGTATTGTAAATTCTTATCATAAGCCATAGTCAAAGTGACCATGCAAGAAACAACTAGGAAAAGGTTAACGCAGTTTTTTCTAGGATTGTTAGAAGGAAGCGATCTAATATATTACGGTGTAATTATGGATAGGACAATGTCTGCTACAATGCTTAAATAAGAAGGTTGTGTTTCTGTTTCTTCATTATTATAGAAATAAAGAGTAGAAAAACAGTGTGGGTAGATTAGCTATGTAACTGGAAAATCAGTACTGTAGCAAGTCATATCTGAAAAATAAATTTAATGACCCTGGGAAAATGTGAAACTTTTAATAGAAACTATAGCAATAAACTTATGTTAGCAATAAACATATCACACTTTAAGAGTTTTTTAAAAAAACATAAAAATGCTGAGACTCTAATTCTGTTTGATTGATTATATTATCAGAAAAAGATACAAATTAGATGCTTTAGAGCAGTGGTCCCCAACCTTTTTTATGCCGCGGCCCGGTACCGGCATCAGCTGGGCGCCGCCATCTTGTTTTGATGAAAAAATGCTTCCGGTGAGCTTTCTACCCGGAAAAGCTCACCGGAAGCACTTTTTCATCAAAACAAGATGGCGGTGCCCAGCAAACCAGCGGCCCGGTAGGATTTGTTCCATGGACCGGTACCGGTCCGCGGACCGGTGGTTGGGGACCCCTGCTTTAGAGTTTAGAATGGATGTGAGATTTCCCATAGCCGTGATTCTTGCTCTCTATTGGCTTTTTACTTGCAAAAAAAAAAAACCACCCTGAAAATTTTTTTGGAGCCTGTGACTATGAATAGATGTTTTAGGAAACTGCATAGATTGCCTATTCTGAATTCTTTGGTTTCGGTTGATTTAAGTTCTATGTCAGAACGTTGGTCATCAAAATTTCTTCTTTGGGATAAGTATTACCTAGTAGGTGAACAGTCGTAGCTCATTTGTGTGTCAGTGAAATTGCTATATTTAGGCTGTGATTAAAATTCCCTGCTCTATGACTGTGGTAAATATGAATTTGTTGATGATAATTACATAGAAGGGGAAATCTTTTTTCCCCTATTTTTAGTGTTATTTTTAGCATAACTAATAATAGTGAATATTGCTAGCATTAAAAAAGTAAAAACTTTATTTCCTGGGTTTCTAAGGACCAGTGCTGAGTTCTAATTACTATTTTAAATGGCATGGTCATGTTGCAATTTAAATTTACAAAAAGCTACCATTTTTGGATCCAAAAAAATTCTATGATATTGTGGGCGGAAATTTCCTATAATCCAGTTCATCTCAAATAGACACGTAGACTCTCAGAATGCTCAACAACGATCATGCTTGCTAACTAATCCTGAAAATTGAAGTCTGCAAATCTGTAGGGTACCCATATTGGGGAATGCACCCTAATCTCTGTTGAAGAAATCATAGAAAGAACGAACAGGAAGCCTGGCAGAGTTGTCATACTTTCATAAATTGAATAATTGCTTACCTCAACAGATACTTCATTTATTTGCTGCTGCTGTATTTGTACATTAATAATAAAACTATACATCATTTCCAAAACAGAATTAGGATCATAGGGGATACATGATGTCTTTATTCCACTTAAGGTGCCTTTCTGCTAACACATTAAAAAACTAGTTACAATTGCCTGAAGATTTTGAGTAGAACTTAGTTCAAATGAAAATAGATTTCTCCTGTTTTATTTCAAGAAGTTTTTGCCATGTTCTGATTTGTTATCACATTAGTGAAGCTAGTGTTCCCTTTCTCCTGCAATTATGAAATTATGTGGATTAATTACATATTTAACTAGCCCCTTGGAAGCAGCTGGAATCATTCTGGAAATATAAAAGGCCCTAAAATTCATCATCATGAAAGCCTGGTCTCCTGGCTAGCCACAGAAGAAGGCATTTTCAGAACATATAGAGCCTTCCAACTCTGACCTTGGGGTTGGGAGGTGTTATTGTATATTTATTTGATTTATATCTCACATTTCTACAAGGCTACTAGGAAAGCAAAATAAAAAATGGGATATAAAAAGTGAAAAACATAAATTGAAGTCAATAGTGAAATTGTACACTAAAATCATAATAGTTAAACATTTGCTAAAAGACATTCTTTTTATCTTCTTAGATTCTTTATAGATTTTCTATATGCCAAATGAATTTTTGTAGGATATTCTATACGCTTCTGCATTTTGAATTGATTCTGGGCTTGGAAGAGAATTTCTGTCAAAATGATAATTGACCAGTGAGATTGTTGTAGGGATGGCTTTTCACATTGTTTGACACATGTAGGAGCTGAATTTGTTTTACTTTTGACTGGATTTTGATTGGTATCATTTGGAAAAAACAAGATACAAGAAGTGTCGTGGTTTAAGAAATAGAAACCATACATTTATGCAAGCAGATATGCTTAAAATGATTAAAGCACTTATGAATCCCTCAGTATACATGCTAAGTTTATCCTTGACTGATGATTGATTATGTGTCATCAGGTCATAATTTTAATGACCTCATAGTTTTTCTCTATGACAATCTGTTCCTAACCTGGTCTTTCAGATCTTCCAGGGGTGCCCCTGTCACCACTAAGTGCTGCTGGTCATTCTCTGCTCTTTCCTTCTATCTTTCCCATGCTTAAAGCTTTCTCCAGGGAAACAGATCTTCACATAGTGTGTCTGAAATAGGATAATTTGAGGGCCAGTTTGGTGCAGTGATTAATGTGCTGACTTAGAAGCCAGAATACTGTCAGCTCTAGGCTTTCCTTCAGTGCAAAAGCCAACTGGATGACTTTGAGCCAGTCACTCTCTCTCAGCTTAATCTTCCTCACAGGGTTGTTGCTGTAAGGGAAAATAAGAGGCAGGAATAGTAAGTATGTTCCCTGCCTTGAGTGGTCATTTTGTGCCTCAGCTGTGGACTCTGGATTAATTTGTTTGATGATTAATTTTGATGATTAAATTGTTTGGTTTCTTGGCTGTCCAACGGTATTATAGTCATTCTAAATCTGACATCCACCAAACAGGTTAAGAATATATTTCATATGAAACATTCAATCATGCTGATTGAGAATTATGGGAGTTGACAGCTTCAATACATTTTTAAAAAACTAAGTTAGGGGATTATAGTATTCCTAGACAAAGTACAGTCCCTGTAGTGAGGTGAAAACATTTGAGATTAGAAGTACTTACCTCCAACATTTTCAGATTTGTTTATAAAGCAAATAGAATTATATGGATTTTTTTTTACAAAAAATGAAAAGGTATTTGTGAATCTGCATTTAAATAATAACTGAGGAACAGAATAGTTAGCACAGTAGGACTGCTAGGAATAATGGAGAGGAACAATACATGGAAATGGAATAATATGAAATATTGTTGAACAATCTATGTAATACAAAGAAAGTTGATTTCGTAAGTACTGGCACATAGAGCTTTTACTTGGCTTCCTCATAAACTGGAAGGGAAAATATCTAATCTCTAGAGTGGGTAAATTCCTTGCTAATGAAGTCAAACTTCCCGACTAGCTCCCTTTGTGCCCTCTTTCTGTGCATACTTTTTCAAAACATATTTTTCACAAGACCTCATAGATAAAATGTAGATAACTTTGAAATTAAGTTGGAAATCTGAAATTCTAGGATTTTTTTTATCTTTTCTGTCCATCTACACAAATGAGAAATGTGGTTTTAATGCAACACAATATTAATTTCCAACTTCAATAAATAATAGGAAGTGGCCAGTAGAAGATTTGTAAAAGCTACCCTTAAACAGTTTGCCATTTTTCTCATTCATGCAGTTTTTATTGTGCCACCTCCTAACGCTAAAGGGAAATTATTGAGGGAAGCATCTGCCTTCCTAAATATTAAAGAGATGATTATGTACCATCAAGTCATTTTTAGCTTGACCCACATAGATAGATTTTCTCTATAATGATCTGTTAGGAGGAAGTCATTAAATGCTTTTTGTGTCTTTTATGGTTATTTTTACTAAGTGATTCTAAAAAAGTTGTGTCAAGCAATTTGATGTTCGAGTAGATGTCACATTGCAGCTGTATTTATAGGTAACAATGGTATCTCCTAGTCTCTGTCAGATTAAAGTAAACAGACTCATTTAAGTAACTGAATTTGTCAAAATAAAATATATTACTGTCTCCATAATTTTATGCATTTTGATGTGGCATATTTGATAGTTAATGTGGCCTAATATATCAGAAATATACCATTTGTCAAAAATGGTGTAGGGTCTCCCGCTTGGGCGGGGGGTTGGACTAGATGACCTACAAGGTCCCTTCCAACTCTGATTATCTGTATCTATCTTATCTATGTGTGAATTTAACTACAGTATCTGGGGGAAAAATTAAATCCTTTATTCATCCATGGTTTTGGATTGTAAGAAAAAAGACTCACATTTCATTGAGCTCCTCAGTTATGGCCAAAGTAGTATGAAAAAGAAAGTAAAGCATTATTAATTGTCAGTTTATCATTTGAGATACAAAATGCCTAAATTTATTGTTAATAATAATAAAATACATGGTAAAAATTGAAATATGACCCTTAAAAACCCACCATCTGCTCTTTTCATGTGAAGTGTCATCTAAAGACAAAATAAATCAAACAAAGTTAGACTCCAGAGCTTTGTAGCTCTGAGCCAACACATTTAATGTGTTGGAATGGCAATGCAAGAGAAAGCCTAGAACTCAGTGCCTGGCATAATGGCTGGAAAACTATCTGACTGGAAAGATGATGTTGCCAAATTAGACTGTGCTCCAATTTTTGTCATGGCTATCCTCTAGTTCAGTAATCTTCTGAGCATGATGCTCTATACATTCTAAATTCAGTCCAAGGCAGTATGTTTCTTTAATCAAGTTGAAGTACAGATTTTGTTAGCTGCTGAAGGACGCTAGCAAAGGCTACACATTGTAGATCTTTTTCCACAGCAGCATCTAAACAAGGAAGAGCAACAGACAGTTCCTATTAAGCAGGGCTCCGTTAAATTTCATGCCACATTTGTTTTCAAGATTGGCACTCCTTCTTTTGATCAATTAGCTTCAAAGATTCTTGAGGCTAAATAATCATTGTTTTGTAGCATGGTTTTTTAAAATTAACCACATTTTTAGTTAAAATAACTCTTATAAGCCACCTGGAAAGCTTAAGATGACTGCTAATATAAATTAATGTATAATTATAACAATTTATAGATTGATATAAGTTGTAAGTTAAAATTAATAATTTAGTACATTATAATGTAACAGAATAGCATGGTGGCTCAGCAGTTAAGATACTAGGCTTGTCGGCTGGAAAGCCAGCACCCCAGGTTCAAATGCCCTGTGATGGGGTAAGCTCCCATCCTGCCCCAGCTCCTGCCAACCTAGCAGTTTGAAAGCATGCAAATGCAAATAGATAAATAGGTGCCACTTTGTTGGGAAGGTAACAGCACTCCATGATGTCATACTGGCCACATGACTGCAGAAATATCTTTGGATAGCACTCGCTCAATCGCCTTGAAATGGAGATGAGCACCGCCCCCAACGACTAGCAGATTAAAATCCACAGGCACTCCTGTAGCTTACCTTTTTATAATGGAGCAGTAAAAGAAGCAGAGAATAAAGAATATTGAATAAACTGCAATTAATTCAAAAGTGAAGAGGTAGTTAAAAATTAAATGCTAACTTCTCATATCAACATGGAAGCCAGAAATCATGATAGAGCTATTGTTTCAATTAAAAACAAATAGAACCGTGAATTAATAGTAATGATGGGTGAAGATTTGGTGGATAAAATGGACAATCTGAATGGTGGGCATTCAGATTGTGAACTATTTTTAGCAAGAGTTTTGTTTTGTAAATCCAAATGGGAATGTGACACTCATAATATTAGGATTGGTTTTAAAAATACAAGAACACTTCACTAATACGATAATTCAAAAAAATAATCCAAAGGAGGCAGAAATAAACTGGTTCAGTCTTTCCTGATGGCTATATTCAACTATGATATTTTTATGGAAACAGCTACACAAGTTTCAATTCTTGTCTCAAGATAAGAATGTGCTGAATTGGTGTGGGGTTTATTTTTAATGCTAGCTCCCGAAAATACATGTATCTGGAATCTATAAGGAGATACAGCAATGTGTCAAAGGTTCTTTAGATAGGGACTTGTATTGGTTTTAATTTTGCATTTTATTCTTCCTATTTTTTTCACATTTTTCACAACTTAATATCTGTAACATATTTTTTAGGATCACCTGTTGTTACCTGCCACTACGCACAATAAGACCAGGCGACCAAAGATGTCAATAGTGTTACCTGCAATAAATATCAGTGGTGAGTATGGAAGTTAACAAATTGTCAAAAAATCTGTTTGTTTCATTACAGTCAAATTGTATGAATATTTCATGGACATTTTAAAATTATATCTGTTCAAGTTCAGTCTCTTCTGGTGAGCTGTGGTTCAAATAGTAATATGGCTGTAATTTTGAATTTTATTTATTTTAGTTATACATCACAAAAATCATATGATTCATTCCAGTTTACATTCATAAGGGATATTAAAACAGAAACAGTAAAAACTAGTGCTGCTGATTATAGCAGAAGTAAGAGTAAAGAAACAATAATCATAACACTTACCAGCAGCATCAATCTAGCAATGGACAATGTGAGTTTTCAAAGAAACTGCAGAATAGATGGATGGATGGATGGAAGGAAGGAAGGAAGGGAAGGAATGAGAAAGAAAAGAAAGAAAGAAAGAAAGAAAGAAAGAAAGAAAGAAAGAAAGAAAGAAAGAAAGAAAGAAAGAAAGAAAGAAAGAAAGAAAGAAAGAAAGAAAGAAAGAAAGAATTCTTTATTGGCCAAGTGTGATTGGACACACAAGGAATTTGCAAATGTTCTCAGTGTACATAAAAGAAAAGATACATTTGTCAAGAGTCAAGAATCATAAGGTACTTAATAATAGTCATAGAGTACAATGACTCCATTCTGGCAGGTTTCCAAAAAGAAATCAGGGTTTGTGCTAATTTGACTTCTGATGGGAGACTGCTATTCAAAGCCACCACAGGAAAGCACCATTTTGGAGTCTTAATGAGTTCTATAAGAACTCAGGAGCCAAGATATTTATGGCCATAAAAATACAAACCTGCATTTCAAGTTTTATACAGAAACCTATTGAAAGCTAGTGCAGTGCCCCCAGATCACTATAGGCCCCCTAGCAATAGTTGCTTCCACTCACCACTGCGCAGGCAGCTGTGTTTGGCAACAGTAGCAGCTTCTGGGTAACCTTGAAATTACAGCCCCATATAAAATAATGATCTTTTCTAATCATGATCTTTTCATGAACACTATTGTAGGACCTTCCACCTCAGGTAGAAGTTGTACCAGACAAAGTTAGGCAAAGTCTTCTTAACCATTCCTTGTAGCAGTAGCATGAATCAATAAGAACACTCTAGTTATAGACCAGATATTTCTGATGGAGTGCCGTCCCATGTAGAGTAACATTTGCACCAGCATGACGGCTTGTAAACAAACACGGCTTCATCTGTTTCTAGTTCAAGTTTAGTTTCCCTCTCCAGACCTTCAAAGTCATGACAAATCCAGTTCAGTCCAAGGGTGACAACGAACAATCAGCATATTGATGATGCCTTACCCAAACTGATTGATGACTTTTTCAATGGCTTCATATAGATACAGAGAAGAGGATTTAGTCCTATAGGACTCCAAAAGGGAGCCTCCAGGTAGCTGACTTCTCCTTCCCCACTTACATGGATTGGAATTGCCCACTTAGGGAAGAGCAGAGCAAATAATCTAATTTTGCTCTTTTGTTTTGCTCTAAATCAAACACAGAAAGATACTGTGGTTGATAGTATCAAGAGCAACCAAGAACTCAGAGAGGACCGCAGTGAGTGTTCTTCCACCATCCAGATCCTGGCAGAGAGTATCTACCACAGTGAGTGACCGTTCCTGTTTTAGATGTCATACCCTGACTTGAAACCTAACTGAAAATGATCCAGAACATTTTTTTATTTTTTATTTGCTGAAGCAATGCCAACTTCTCAGAAATAGGTAGGAACTATACATTAGGTAGCCAGTATAGCTGAGCCCTGGTGGCAGACTGGTTAGAATACAGTATTGAAGGCAAACTCTGCCCTTATCCTGTAGTTTGATTCTGACAGGGCTTGAGGTTGATTCAGCCTTTCATCCTTCCAAGGTTGGTAAAATGAGGACCCAGATGGTTGGGGGCAATAGGCTGACATTGTAAACTGCCCAGAGTGTGCTGTAAAGCAGGAGTCCCCAACCTTTCTGGTTCTGGACTGGCTCCAGTGGCAGTGGTTGGAGGTGGGGGGAAAAGGGGATGGTTTTGCACAGGGGGAAGAGGGGATGGTTTTGCACAGGTGTGCGCCACTTCCACAAATGCAGCTTCACATGCTCACCCATTCCCTCTGGGCCACAGCTTGGCACCAGGCCGTGGGTTGGGGACCCCGGCTATAAAACACAATGAGGTGGTATATAAGTAAATGCTATTGCTATAGCTGAATCCAGGGAGTCTCGTCAAGAATAAAAATCACTTTATGGATTTAAATATTTAAAACAATTCTTTTTTTAGATTAGTTCACTTCAAGATACTGATATGAGGAATCACATGATGGAATGCTTATAAAAACAAGCAAAGGAAGAGAAAAGTTGGAAAATCAATACTTTCGATTTCATTGAGAGGCTCATATATGCATTCATGCACACGCTCAACAATAGGGAAAGTTTGGGTGCATTTAAAGTGTTTTTAAATATAGGTATAACTTTGATTTCTTAGAATTTTTATTGATACTGCTCCTGTTTTCTATTTTAATATTATTTAATTTGGTCTTTTATACCATATTATTTTTATTCAGTAAAGCACATAAAAAGTATTTTCTGATTAAAGATCTTGTGCAAAGAAAAGGACTAAAACTACAGCTTAAGCATTTTAACTATTATATTTTCATAAACAGTATGGGAAAATGGAGATGATATTAGAAAGAAAAATGCTTAAATAAACTCTCAGTTTAGCAGTCTTTATATTGATATTTTACAGCATTCTGTATTTATAGAGAACTTTTCCTCTAATTATTCAAGGGTTTACTCTATTAATTAAATCATAATTTGATTTTGGCATTTGTTTGCAAAATATGTGCAGTAGAAGCAATTTCTAAGCAGACTTAGGCTTTCACACCTGCTGCAAGTAACTTATCACTTGCTGTTTGTACATCTGCTCTCGAGACATGTAATGCTATAGAAGCTCTCATGTTTCCATTGGAAATGTGTTTGCTGTCCCTTTCATTCCAAGATGAAGTTTGCCAAAAAGAATCAAATGGTGCTTTTGTTCCACCTAAAAAACATAAAAAGGGATCCTGGTGAACGTGCCCACAGGATCTTATGATAGATCAAAAAGGGTTATAGATTTGCTTTCTGATGCACTGATTGCTAAAGTAAACAAGTATATTTATTAGAAAAATTAGATAACAAAATATGTTTTACAAACTAAAGAGAAACCTTGCAAAGACATAGGTGATTGTGGTTTTATTTGCTGAAATTTGATGGCTCACTAGCTCTCTATCTTATTTTCATTCTTGAAATCCAGAGCCAGATTATATATCTTATGGTGTCATATATGAGGCTTCATGTTTTCTTTCATCCATTATAAGTATGCACACATGTACCATAACTCTCTGCTCTAGTCAGTAGTTTGCAGCCTGGGGAATTATCTGTTCATAGATAGCCTACCCAGCATAAATCTAAAGTATTTAAAATGTTCCTTATAACATTTATCTTATAAGAAAAAAAAACATTTATTGTATTTAATCTGCAAGAGAAATTTAATGGATCTCTACAATAACTGAGATTGGGCATGAAAACATACATATGGTCCAACATATGTCAGCAAGCGTGAGTAATATCTGTAAATCTGAATGGTTCTTTACTGTTGTTTAGGGTGTGGTATTATAATTCTAAGTAAGATTGTTTAAATCAGGAATGAGTGAACCTCCCCTGAATCACCTCTTCTGAATTCTATCTGAGCAGAAAAATCTATTTGGATGGTCTCCAGAATGTTCAAAAACAAGTCTTGGAAGCTTTTTCAGTATCATCTCTAAGTACTTGAAGTGTTTCTGTAATTATCATATGAATTAACTATTGTTTTCTCTAATCTTTTTTATAGTCTCTGTAGAAAGGCATTGAAAACTTTCGAATATTTTTTTCTGTTGAATGTTGAGATAGTTACTGAAGAACAGGTTTAATTTTTGTTATAGGATTATTTTGCTTTATGCTATTACTAAGATATGGATCCGGAAAAACTAATACTGGTGCCATAAAAATACAGTATATATTTCAGTAGTATGGTATTAATGTGTGACATCTTGATAATTTAAAGCATTCTTCCAAGATATCAATAAACTGAACTACTTTCATTTTTAGTATGATGTCCTGAGCTGTCTTGAGCTAATTAGATCATTAATACAGACAGTCCCGGAGTTAAGAATTCAAATTTGTATGTAAGAGTCAGAAGTCACACTTACGCATAGACTGCCTATTACTAAAAATGGCAGATGGCTTTCTTTTCCCCCTGCATCAGTAGTTCATGGAAATACTGTGCAGTTACAGCAGTTCGGTGGCTCAAGGAAGGAGAAGGCCATCTGCCATTTTTAGTAACAGGCAGTACGAGTTGTCTACAAGTCAGATGTTCTCAATCTGGGGACTGCCTCTACTTAAGGTTTGTGTGAGTTATTAATAATGTAGATGTAGTATTAAAGTACATTAATGAAATCGCATTACCATTTTGCTACATAAATCCCTGTTCAGAGTGATCATGTGTTAGCAACAATATATGGCAGAGACGGTGAAATGTTCTTAAGTTTCCCAGAAATCCTGCTAATTGGTAAATATAACTTCTTGGTTCTTATAGAATATCTATGTATTAAAATGTAAAAAACAGATAGTCCTCAACTGTTTGGGACCAGAATTTCTAAGCAAGGCAGTTGCTAAGTGAGTGGCCCTCGATTTTATTACCTTTTTTTTGCAATGGTTGCTAAATGAATCACTGTGGTTGTTAAGCGAATCATGTGGTTGTTAAGTGAATCTGGCTTCTCACATTAACTTTGCTTGTTAGAAGCCATCTGGGAAGATCACAGATGGCGATCTTATAACTCCAGAGCACTGCAACCATCATAAATATCTGTCACTTGCCAAGTGCCTGAATTGGATCACTACCTCTATAAGTCATGTTACTTATATTGTGGAATGCCGTATTGAAAGTGACCTCCAAAATCTAATCTCAAACATAAATGATTTCAATCATAAAG